AAAAAAAAAAAAAAAAAAAGTACACTTAGGTTACACAAGGACACTGACTTTTATTTAATAGCAAATATTTAATTAGTAGTGTATGTCCCCGTGATACGCCTTGCCCATAGTATGATACTGTTACGCTGGTCATGTACAATCGCAAGACAGCGGTCCGCACTGGGTCAGAAATGGCAGAGCTGCTGCTGTTAGTCTTCAGTTCTCTGGTATTCCAGAAGCCAAATAGTAAATTTTGAGCAAATAACAATTGTGTTTATATTTCTGATCCAGTTGAGGTTTGAATCTATTCAGTGACTACTCGGCGGTTCCCAGACACAGACTTGAACCTTCTGTCTTTCATCATAAGTTCAAGTCACGCATGTCTTTGCCTCTATTTCTGGACCTTTGGTTCCCTGATCTAAACCTGTTTGAACTGGTACCACACCTGTGGTGATGGTTGAGTCTCTAGACTAATAGTGTGTGTCTTGTACCTGCTAGAACTAGTTCCCTGAGGTCTTTTCCAGAGTGCTCAGGACCATTCTTGTTTCTTTATGACATGATTTTTAAATCAGTCCCCTTGTCCCCCTTCCCCCAGTAAATACCAGTTAGTACTTTTATCAGGGTGGTGATAAATTTTTCATTAACTTAGGTAGGACTGATTTCTTCATGATGGTGGATCTTCTGCTTCATAAACTCAGCATGTCTGCATTTCTAGAAGCATTTTGTATCCCTTGCATATTCACTTATATAAATTCCTATAGATTTTATCTTTTTAAAAAAACTTTTTAAATTGTTTAATATCCTAACCTCAGGGTCATTTTGACTGATTCTCTTCTAAATATTATCTGTTTGTTGTTTTTAATCTGGCACTTTTGGTAACTTTATACCATTTATTTCTTCTGAAGACACTTTGAAGGGTAGGTAATAATCTGACTCAATTTAGATGTCGTAGGATATGTGAATGAATCAAACCTTACCTTGTAACTAAAGGAACAAGGACACCCATTTAGTCTGCATGGAAAATCTGGGTGTTAACTCCTTGGTTCTAGTCCAAACATGTGCTTCCAGCCACCAGGAAATAGAGTTATAATGCAGGATGTTATCAGCCTTCTAGGAGCAAACACAGGGTCAATAATAAAAATTGCTGGCATTTACTTAGCACTTACGTATGAAACATCTGTTGTGTGCTTTTTGTGTTATTTTGCACAGCCTAACCATAGTATGGCAGGACCTTTACTACCTGTGATTTACATATGAGTAAATTGAGGCATAGAGAAAGTAGCTAGCCCAGAGTTAAACAGATTTCTCTACTACATAGGGCTGGGGATTTAGCTCAGTGGTTCTGCTGCCTGCCTCACAAGCGAAAGGTCCCGAGTTTGATCCCCGGTACCTAAAAAACAAAAACAAAAAAAATGGAAATTTCTCTGTTTCAGCACTTCTCAGAGCCTTTGCAACACTGTGTTCTAATGAAATGGCTGCACTGTTCATAAGAATTGGTTGTTGGCAGGGCAACTGGACTGGAGCTAGATATTTGGAACTTGTTAAATTTTAACTGAGAGGTGAAAGCTGATCTCTTCTACCTTTTTAAATGTACGTTACTAAATTGCACATGCACTTTATTAGGCTGCTGTGAATACTAGTTTGCACTGTGAGCTTCCAAGAGAAGATGGAACATGCTGCTCTCAGCAACTGGAACGATCAGGTGCCGAGTGTTGTGTGGATGGCTATTACCTTACTTCACCCCCAGTACAACCTGAACTCTCATGTTCCCATTCTGCAGGTGATGAGCCTGAGCCCTTGAAGGCTAAGGGACTTGCCCCCGATTGTGGCATCTAGAGAGACCAGTGCTGGGACTTGTGCCCAGGTATATCTGACCTATGTCTTCCAGGTGTGTAGGTACCAGATAAATGCTGCCATTTCCTGTTTTGGATAACTTTGCTGTTCTCTTACCCAGAGCCACGATCATGTCTCTGGAAGACTTTGAGCAGCGCTTGAATCAAGCCATTGAAAGAAATGCCTTCCTGGAAAGTGAACTTGACGAGAAGGAGAACCTCCTAGAATCTGTTCAGCGACTAAAGGATGAAGCCAGAGGTCAGAGGTCTTGGCTTTGTTCTGTGCCTTTCCTGGCGTGATTTCTCTCCATCTTTGATACCATCCTGTTCTGTGGCCTTGCCCATCACTGCCTTTACTGGAAATCTGCACCCCTCTCCGCACATGGGTTGTCCAGGCAGAGCGTGTGGTCCCTGCCCAGTGCTCAGAATTCTCAGCCCTCAGACCCTGTGACAACCCCTCATAGATACTTACAAAGATAGCTTTGAGGTTCACAGATGAAGCCCTTGTTTTGGGGGGAGGTTGCCTCTGAGCAGTGGAATTCATCTGGGAGAGAAGCTTCCTGGTCTGAAATTGACACACAGGCTTGATGCACTATGGAGTAAGTCTCATGGGGAGGAGATCCCTGCTGGTAAAATTGCTCATCAGTCTGTAACGTTTGTGACTTGGTGGTGACTGGTACATTGGAATGAGAATTTGGAAACCTCTTTGCTCAGTGGAGGTGCGCAGTCCCAGAGGTAGAGCTTTCCTGTACCAAGGCATTAATGTAGCATCCACGGTGGGTGCATAGGAGATTTTTTTAAAGTGTTAACTGATTATTCATAACATTAATTTGATTCCTAATAATATGTGGCCTGAAGGTGGAGGATTAAAAAAAACACTAAGTTTAAAAACTACTAGTTGAGTGCTCAAAAAGTTCAAAAAGTTTCAACTGGGTTTCAAATTAGCAGTGCTCAACCAGTAAAATATGCAGAATCCCAAGATTGGAAAAATCTGAAGCACTTCTGGTCCTAAGCATTTTAGATGAGGGATACTCAACCTGTAGTTGTTCCTAAATGCCCATCAGTAACAGGTGGTTAAAGAACCCATATAGATTTATTTTGTGATATGTTAAACAGTTATTAAAAGGAACAAGATAAAGATATGAATGTAGCCCTGGAAATAATCGCCCACACGTACCATTGAGACAGAGTAAGTCATAGACGGGCGTCAATGTTCATAGTTGTGATTAATAAAAATTGTTTATACTTTATGCTCAGTAGATCTTCACACACATTCAGATTCTATGACCATGCAGTGATAAAGGATTGAAAAGACTTGCTATGTGTATAGGTGATCATTTAGGATCAAGGAAGGGCGTTTGGGAATAGCTGGAAAAGCACACTTTAATTTGGGATTCTGTGTACGTTGCAGTGTTAAAGTTTTCAAAACACAGCAATAATGTGTCACTGCCACAGTTTTTTAAATATTTTAAACCTTTTTTACTCAAGGAAAATGATGTAGCTTCGCAAACCTGCTAAGCAGGGTCAAGCGGGCTTTGCTCCATTGAGGGTTCTGGACTTTTTTACCCAGTAGCTCTTTTCCCTGATTAGCATCTGTCTGACCTCCAGCCCACCCTGAAAGCAAGGACTTTACATTTCTGAATCCCTTTCCTGGCATAGATTTGCGGCAGGAATTGGCTGTGCAGCAGAAGCAGGAGAAGCCCAGGACACCCATGCCCAGCTCAGTGGAAGCTGAAAGGACAGATACAGCTGTGCAGGCCACGGGCTCTGTGCCGTCCACTCCTGTAGCTCATCGAGGACTCGGCTCTGGTTTAAACACCCCAGGGACGTTCAAGCGTGGTAAGGAGGTGGGGAACCCGGGGGATTTTCTGTGTTTCCTGGGAGAGGGGCCTTGGGCTAGGCCATATAGTGGAGAGCAGTATGAAGCTGTCACCACAGCAGGGCATTGTGGAGCAGTAGGAAAACAAGTATTGAGTGCTCAAAGCACTTTGTGCAGTGACCTTGTGAATCCACACCACAGGCCCATCATGGAAGTGCTGGCCCCATTTAATGAATATGGAGACTTGAGGCTCAGCCTTAAGAAACTTGTTGAAGTCACACAGCAAGGAGGTGACACAGTTGGGATTTAAACCCCAGCAAGCTGGCTGCAGGACTTAATCTACCATATGCCGCCTAAGCCCTTAGCTTGTCTCCTGGTGATGAAGAAATGGTGAGATTGGAACATCCCAGTCTAGAGTTATCTCCCACACATATTAGCACACAGCTTGTGTGGGGATGAGTTAAAATCTTGTTGCTTTGTACCTTAGATTTAGCCAGTAGAGAGGGGCCTGTGGTTGCTGGGGCAACCTTGGAGAGGGCTCTACACTGCACACCCTTTTTAGAGTGGCTGGCTGTGTACGTACTGGACTTATCCCAGACGCTGATAATGTTAGCTGCGTGGAATTTCTGGAAATTGGAGAGGACCTGTTTTGGCTTTTGTTGTTGTTGTTATTTTGTGTATTTTGTACTACTGGGGATGGAACCCAGAGAACACTGAGAGGCATCCTCAGCCTTTCTTTTTTTTATTTTGAGACAGAATCTTGCTAAGTTGCCCAGGCTGGGCTCAGTCTTGCAATCTTCCCGTCTCAGATCCCAGAGTGCTGGGATTACATGGGATTACAACCGTGCTCAATCTCACCTGGCTTTAGCTTTGTTTGTGTGAAACTAAATGTTTAATTTTGTAAGGACTCAAAAAGCTGGTCATCCAGTAGAGTCCTGGCACATTACAGAGTTAACTCCCGAGTGAGGTCGGGCAGCATCCAGAAGCAAAGGGAGGATGCAACTTCCCTTCTCTACCTGGTGGTTTCACATTTAGAGATGTTACACACAGACTGTAGGCTGGTGCTGTGATGTGTGCTTCTCCTTGCACAACCAGGCCTGGACGGCTCCAACAGTGGCACCCCTCTCACACCTGCGGCCCGGATTTCAGCCCTCAACATCGTGGGGGACCTGCTGAGGAAAGTTGGGGTAAGACTGCACCTTCCCAGGGTGTGTGTGCCTGCTTGCCTGTGTCACAGTACCCAGAAGGGAGCATCTTGCCTCTAATAGAGGTGTGATGGCTTTTACATGTGGCTGGTCCTTCAGAGTGCCAGGCGTCATTAGAGCCTCCTGGAGAAGTTTCTGTTGCCAAGGCCCAGAGCTCAGAACTGAAGTCTTCCCTCCCATCTCTGGGTGTGTCTTTTTTTATGTTTGTCTTGAACCATTTTTCTTCCATGCTTTCAAGCAGTTTGGGTCAACAGGGTCAATCGATGGCTTTTTTCCTTACTTTGAAGAAATTTCAGGGCCATTTAAAAATGGCTTGCTCTTTTTTTTGCTCTCTCAGGAGTTTAATAACAGCTTGAAAGATCAGAAAGAAGGAACTGACCTTCCCGGTTTTCCATTAATTACATGAAGGGATTCCTGTGTGCTTAAGCAATAATATGGGTGTTTTTGTTAGTTGTTTCTTTTATTTTTAAAAATGAAGCCTGAGTGCTCACTTTGGCAGCACATATACTAAAAATGAGGCCTGAGAGCCATATAATTTGTTTTTTTTGCTTAAATTCTTTTATTGGTACATTTTAGGTATATAATAAGTTTACATTTCTCATTGGGTGCTTGTACCTGTACATGACGTATCTTGGTTCTTATTTTTTCCCCATTCCCTGTGCTCCCTTCACCCCCTCCATATAATTTTAATCTTGCAATTTGTCACGGAACAGACAAACATACATTCATAACTAAACTTAATAGAAGCTTGCAACCCATTCCTTACGTTTTGGCTCTTGGCTTTCCAGTTTTCTGTGGCATAAACAGCTCTGTGAGTATTTAGCAGAGTGTGGAGAAGCCTGGGGGTAGGGACCTCTCCTGCCCCTTTGGTTTCCTCGGGATCTCTTTGCTCCAAGTTCAAGACCTTGTTTAAACTTCATGCTACTCTGTACATGTTTAACACAGTAAACAAAACAGTGAGTGATTCTAAGAGTTGAGGTCATGCTTCCTATAGGTGGAGTTGGACAATAAGGTGGAGTTCGTGACTCTTCAGGGTGCTCACAGATATTTCAGGCAGGTGGTTATGAGAACTGGGGACACAGTGGATTCCTCTGGACCCAGCCCCAGAATCCAGCCCAGCACAGTTTGAGCATCACTGTTTTAGGTTCTCTTCTCTATATGGGGTCTGGTGAGAGAGGACTTCCTGTCCTTAACTTGAGAGACAAAAGCACATTTCTCGACAGGCGCTGGAGTCCAAACTTGCATCCTGCCGGAACTTTGTGTATGATCAGTCCCCAAACCGGACAAGTGGCCCAGTATCAGGGCGTGGGGGCAAGAACAGAGATGGCGGCGGCGACAGAAGGACAAGCAGCAATGGCGTATCTCTGGGTGACAAAGGGTTTGTACCTGTTGATGTTCATTCTTGTGGTAGAGGGAGCATCTAGCTACTTCCGGTCCATGCTGAGCCCCTACCCGCCGCCATTTGTTTTTGAATTGTAGGATTATTTCCGTGACCTTATCCTGTACTCCCTTCCCTTGAAGCAGAATTGATTGACACCATCTGGTTTGGGCAAAGGGCCAAGGAGACTGCCATGTTTATCATTTGTTTCTACAGCCCTGACTCAAGGGCATGCAATGAGAATGTCCTGAGCACGTTGTTTAGGCATTGAGCTTCAGACACTTCTCTGCTTCCCCTAGAAGGTGGAATTTTACTTTTAAACATGTAGAACCTTCCAGAAACTGAAAGGCCTGACTAAATTCTAGCCAGACTAGATTCCCAAAACCAGTCACCTAGTTGGAAAATGCAGATCTGACCTCTAATGGATTTATTTTCTTGTTGAAAGAAAACCAGAGCCCTGTCCACATTCAGGAATTCCATGGGAGGAACCCCTTTTCTCCCTAGAGACCAGGCCACCCAAATCTGGTGGGCCTGTGGCAGACATGGGGTGGGAGACTAGGAATCGTTTTCCCATGGCATACACTTAACTTTCAGAACTGTAGGCACAGATTTTTTTTAAATTTAATTTTTATTTTTGAAATTTTAAATTCAGGGGCTAGGAGTGTAGCTCTGTAGACAGAAGGTCCTGGGTTTGATTCCTAGCACTGTTCCCCTCTCAAAAAAAAAAAGGATTTTTGGCAAGTAAGAAGTGGATGTTTTTATTTTATTTTATTTTATTTTGCAATGTTGTTTTTCTTGGGGGGGGGTTACCGGGGATCAAACTTGGGTCCTTGTGCTTGCGCAGCAGGCGATGAAACCACTGAGCTAAATCCCCAGCCTCCTATTTTATTTTATTTTTTTTGGTACTGGGGATCAAACTTGAGACCTTACACTTTCGAGGCAGGCGGCGGAACCACTGAGCTAAATCCCCGGCCCAGAAGTGGATGTTTTTAGAAGTTCTTCTGAGAAGGAGCTTTCTGTGCGAGCAAGCTTGGGAATCTGAGAGCCAGATAGCCAGTGTCCTTTTCTTCATTTCACAGGAGAGAAAACTGAGGCCCTGTGGGACCCTGCTCCTCACTCTTAGAACTCTGTGGGCCCCGGTGCTAGCCGGTTTGTCCTTGCCGTCCTGTCAGCTAAATTGGTTTGCTCTGTCTGAAGGTTGGGAAAACGCCTGGAATTCGGGAAGCCCCTCTCACATCCATCCTCGCCGCCGCTGCCGCTGCCGTCTGCTCCGGGTGTTGTCAAGGTGCTGCTTTAGGAACCCTCTCGAGCTGGAGCCCTGTCTGGCTGGGGTCCTTATCTTTCCCCCTCCCTTCACACTAGGCTTGTTTTTTTAACTAGTTTGAGAAATAAGAGCCAGCAGTCATTATAGTTTGCCTTGTGCTGTGTGGCCCAAGCCACTGACCGAGGCTGTCGGCCATGGCCCTGGCGGTGTCCCTGTGAAATGACGTCTCGCACGCAGTTCCTTGTCTCCCCCTTGGTGTGTGTGTGCGTCACAGAGACAGGGACAAACTGGGCCTCTAGGAAGGTTCTGAGTGTGGGTGACAAGGCTGTCCGTCCATTGCTGGCTGTCGAAGAGTCCTGATGTCCTTGAGGGGTGCTTTTAGGGTCCAACTCTTGGGCTCACCTCTTGGCCCCTTGCATCTGGAGCTGTCTTCCAGAATGGACTCTCAGTGCTTTACGGTGTGCAGAAATCACATCTTGGAGCAGTAAGAAAAGACATATGTGCCTCTTTACAACTGACCGTGTACCCCTGACTCTAATGTGCCCCTCGTGGTGGTCCCTAGGAGCATGTTTGCGTTTTGGAGCCATTTTCAAGTCAGCATCAGTGGGGAATCTGCAGGTAAGGCCCAGCCCTTAATCTCCCCAAGTTGCCTGCTCTGGCATGGGGGTGACAGCCGCATCAGGACCCTGGGGGTGCTTGGGGTACAGTGGCCTGGATACTGCCGGCCCTAAGAAGAGGACTTCATTCAAAGCCATCGTGAAATTACCGGGGTGGCCTTCAGATTCGATGAAAACAACAGATGTTGTTGGAAGCGTGTTGGTGAAACAGAGAGACAAGCACAGCAGCCCCAGTTCCCCCACCCCAAGTCGTCTGCGTGCCTCTGCTTTCCTCTGCTTTCCGACACCAACATCGACACCGCAGAAAGGAGCCTCCCAGGAGCCAGGAGTGCAGCCTGATAGCCTTCACTTTTTACTAAATTATTTTCTGAAAGGACCAGCAAAACTAGGCCTTGAGTTGAAAATAGAATTTTCTAAGCACTCTCGAGGTTTGGCTGAGAAGTCAGCTGCGGGCCAGCCGGGTTTGTCACCTAACATGTTCTAACCTGCGTGGTAAAAGATGTCCTTTTATTTTTTTAAAAGAACAATAAAATCAAGAGAAACTCGTGTTCAGCTGGTTTGTGGTATGGTCAATAGATGCAGCTTCACATATGTGTATTTCCATGTGGCTCATATGGTAGTGGTAATTCTTTTTTAACAAAATCACAAAATAGCCGAGGATTTAGCTCAGTGGTTTAGGGTTAGGGTTAGCGCAAGCACAAGGACTCGAGTTTGATCCCCAGTACCAAAAAAAAAAAAAAAAGGATTCTGAAACAAAGTCACAAAATAGAAAAAATGTGTTTTAAAAATTTCTACTCTGGTTAGGCTCTTAGAAGTGTTTCCAGGCAGGGTTTGCCCATCGTTCGAGGTGGCAGCATTTGGTCACATCTCTATTGCTGTATTTGCTGTGGTGTCTCAGTTTTGTCCCTCTGAGCGGCGTGTAGAATAGTTGGTGTAGTATAGAACCTTTGCAGGACATGTCTGTCCAAAGCCTTGGAGCTAGAAAAGGAAAATGCCCCTGGCTTGCTTTTGAAGGACCCCGTGCTAAGAATGGTTTCTTCTGTTTTAAATCCTTGTTAAAAAAAAAAAATAACTATGAGCTGGGCATGTTGGTGCACACCTGTAATCCCAGCACTCTGGGGGACGGAGGCAGGAGGGTCGCAAATTCAAGCGCAGCTGGGGCAATTTACAAAGACCTTGTAGGGCCGGGGATTTAGCTCAGTGGTTTCGCCACCTGCTGCGCAAGCGCAAGGACCTGAGTTCGATCCCCGGTACAAAAACAAAACAAAACAAAAAAAACTTGTCTCAAAATTAAAAAAAGGTCTAGGGGTATAGCTCAATGTAAAAGCCCCGAGTTCATTCTTAGTACTAGAAAAAATGTGTGACAGACCAAATGTAGACTGCAAAGGCTAAAATATTTACTCTCTGGCCTTTATAGAAACAGTTGGCTGACCTATGCTGGGCAAAACATCTTGTGTTTTAATTTACAACATCAAAATCTTGTATTTATCATATTACAGGTTGAATATTCCTTACCCAAAATGTTAGGGACCAGAACAGCTTTGGATTGTTTTTGTTTGTTTTTTTGGTACCAGGGATTGAACTCGGGACCTTGTGCTTGCGAGGCAGGTGAGGTGCCACTGAGCTAAATCCCTGGTCTGGTTTTGGATTTTAAATATATATATTTTTTTGGAATGTTAGCATATCTTGGGAAGGGAACCCAAGTCTAAACACAATTCATTTATGATTCATGTGTGCCTTATCTACATAGCCTGAATGTAAAGACTAATTTTAGGATTCCTGTGTTGTGACTATGACTTGTCACATGAAGTCAGGTGTGGAATTTTCCAGTTATGGTGTCTGTGGTGTTCAGTAGGGTTTGGGCCTTGGAGCATTTTGGATTTTTGGACTAGGGATGTTCGGCCCCTGTACGCCAACTGGGCTTTGGTTGATCAAGATGGATTCTCCTGCCAGGTTCAAGGGCAGAGGCAGTGCCCTGCCAGCCTCCACCCTCCAGCTGCCTTCGGCTCAGTTGGAAAAGCCCCTCTGACAGCTGCCCTTGGCCCTCTGCTCTTCCTTATGCCAGCCACAGCATCTTAGGCAACTTTTTGTCACCTCCCTAGGCCTCACTTTCTCCATGTCTGAAATAATAACCCTGACTGCCTGGGTCACTGTGAGGATTAAATGAGAACATCCCGTCCCACTTTTCTTTTGCTCCAACAGAAAGCCAACTCCGTGCTGGTGATTTATACCCTTTTATTAGTGACGGTGTCCTAAGTACAATCAGGGTGCGTAGAAGACAGTGCAGCATCCCTGCTCTTAGCCCTTAGAGCAGCGTTCCTTTAAGTCACGTGACTGCAGAAGGCACTAGGTCTGGGTGAACTGTGTGTCTGAGGTGTGGCAGCCAGGAGAGGGGAAAAGAATTCTCAAACAAGGGCCTTATCAAGAAGTGGGAGGGGCCTGCAGGATAGGGGATGAGTTGGGGCGAGCAGGGGTGGTGGCACCCATTTGGGAAACTTTCTCCCCATTTTGTGTGAATGGAGTTGCTGGTGACTGGTCACTGCGGCTGTTTTCCTGAAAACTCAGCCCACCAGCAGGATGCGGGGTCCTCCCCTCTGGTCAAACGGAAAGCACTGGAGTTCACACCCTGGCTACAGGGCGGTCCTTTTATAAGTCATTGTGAGGGGTGTGGGTGAGATCTGGAGTTTGAGAATGAATTTAGACAATGCTAAATAGTCTGTTGGTGTTTTGTTTTTTTCCCTGTGGTGATGTAAAACTCTAGTGAGTTTATTCACTGGCTTTGGTTCCGTTGAAGTCTGCATCACGAGCATCCATTTCCTCCTCAGAACCATCTGCATTTTCAATAACTCTTCGTCCTCCAGACCTTCTAGACGGAACAAATGAGGTCTCGTTTCCTCGCCTGTGGGTTTTAATAAGAAAACATGTCACTCTTTAGTAAAGGAACCTGTCAAGGGTGAAATAGACTTTTATAAGGGGCAACGACCAAACACAAACACACTCAACACAAATGAGACGCAGCTATTCAAGTTGAAGGCAACAAACCCTGGCCAGTCTTAAAGTGTGGTTGGTTGTGCTTAATCAGCTGAGGTGGGGGAGTGAGTGGGTTTCTTCCAGGCAAGATTATCTACTTTAATACATTCACGATGAGGCTGTAATTCATGTTTTGCTGCTGGGCAGCTTGAACCACCGGTGGTACGTGCATGACTGTCCCCTCAGGTGCCTTTTTATTTTATTAGTAAATATTTATTTTATGTATTTAATTTATAATTTCTAATAAACTTATAAATTTATAATTTTTAAAATTTATTAATTTTATCAGTAAAAAGACCAGTAAAAGTGTACCACCAGTGGTACAAGCCTCCCCACCCCCGATGGGAATGTGTGAAAAAATGGTTGGGGCTAGGGGTATAGCTTAGGGTGGAATGGTCGCCTAGCATGTGCAAGGCCCAGGCTGCAGTGTCCAGCAGCACACACACAAAGCCTGGCTTGGTCATTTGATTACTTCTGGCCTGCTATGGTCTTGGGTTTGGAATAGGAAGAAAAAGTGAAAAGGTAGGGGAAATCCACACCTATTCAGAAGGAGGGCAAACATACTGTGTTCTTGCCCCCCTCAGAAAGAAAAAATGGGGAGGTTTTAGGGTTATAATTGGAAGAAGGTTTTGAAAATGGACAAGGGCACCACTGAGAGGGGTAGAGGTGATGGACTCAGAAGGACGTCCCCTGCTGGTACAGGGCTTCCTGGTCTGAGGCTCTTGGGTCGGAGTTGGCGCCTGTTGATCTGTCTTTGGCTCACTGTGGTATGCGCTGTGCATGGCATAAATAGGTGCTCAGTGGATCTTTGTTGGAAGAGTGAGTTACACATTAATCCAAGGTCAGTGTTAGCTCAGCCGGTAGGACAGCCCCTCTGCCCCCATGACGCTCATCTCTTTCCTCTGGGACTCCACATGCCCTCTGCTGGTTATCATCCAGGCCCACCTGGCTTCACAGGAAGGACGGGTCACCTGAAGTGAGGGCTGGACAGATGGGGAAAATCAGGTCCACCTGTAATTAACCTTCGCTGTTTGATAGAAATGCTTAAGTGTATTTTCAACTGTTGCAGCAAATGATGGTGTTGAATTCTGGCCATGTGGCCCTGTTTTATGTAGCCTGATTGAAGGACAGGTCTCAACTCATTTGAGGACATTTAAGAAGAAAGCAGACTTCTAGTAACAAAAGCACTCTGCTCACCACACAAAGCCTGGATGGAGAAGCCACGAAGGGGAGCCTACATCATGGACCCAAAGAAACAACTCAGACAGCTGAGGTGTCGGCGTAAGCAAGGCTCAGATTCATGATCGCTGAGGCAAATCCCCATGTGAGCCTTGTGGGCTTCACAAGGTACAGTGATCAGGAATAAATACTTAAAGTCATAGCCACTTCCAGCTCAAGACTTCTAGGCTGGCTTTAAAGAGAAGTTTCTAGACTTCCCACCCCATGAGAGAATCAGCTGTTCCCACCTCTTTAGCAGCAACCTCTCTACAACTGCCCGTCTCAGCCTTTTCACTGTGGGTGGGAAAGAAGGTCCCAGAGGTAAGGGGTGGAGAAGTGACCATCAACCACCACATGGACTGTTGGCCCAACTACGGTGCTACAGTGTCACCCTTGGCCAGCCTGGGGCTGGAAGCTGGGCCTAATTGTGCTTTATGGCTCCAGGCACTCTCTTGCCTCTGAGAGTCAGAAGAGTTAAAGGATCAGTTTGCTCCTTGACCTCAGAAGTAGCCTGTGCCCTGGGTCATTGCGGGCTCCCTGCTTGGCTGACCTCGCAGGGCGGTCTCCTGGCTCATGTGCCTTTCTTGGAGGAACTGGTTTCAAATCCTAGACAAAGGTTGACGTGACTACCTCTGTTACAGGAAGTAAGAGGCCCTGTGCAGATTCTCTTGAAAGGTCTGATCCTGGAGAATTGGGGTTCTTGCTGAGCACCCTTGATGGAAGGGACGTCCACATCTGAAGCCCCAGCTACTTGCAGGAACGTGGTTCCTGCTGACTGGTGGGTTCTTTCCCCATCCAGCTCTAGGAGCAGCCACCCTCTGCGCCATCCCAATATCCTGGAGACTCACCTGCCCTCTGCCCTCTCACCTGAAATCTACTCCACAGTCTTTGCAAGACCTCACTCAGCTTTAAGTATTTGGTAGCAACAGCAGAGCTGAGATTCTCCAAAAGAGAAGATGGACACAAGCAAGGGCTTGTTTGACCTCTCAGTGGGGGGTGACAGAGAACTCGGGGCCCCATCGCCTGACTTCACCCATGTGAAAAAGTTCTTAAAATCCCAGAGAAGTAGAGCTCTCTGCCTTCTCTCAAGGGGGGCCCATGTGCTTCCTCGCGTGTTGGGCATCTACTCCCGTCTCTGAACACACGCAAGCCGTGAGGTCTCTGACGAAGGCTCTGCGGATTGTGCCTGGCTTGGTGGCAGCTGGTTCCCACCCTGGTGCACTGAAAATGCAGTGAGCAGCGAGACTGTGTCCAGCCCCATGAAGCCCCGGCATCTGAGCGTGGCAGTGAGAGCTCATGTCCTTGTAGACAGTGTGTGACAGCTTAACTGTGAGAGGACAAGTTTCTGCCTGTGGTCACCTGAACCTGTGTTGTTATTCCCGATTTGTGACCCAGACCAGCCCGACGGGAGCCATGTCCATTCTCAGGGGATGTGCCCAGGGTGTGGACTGTCCTGTTCAGGGATATGCCTACTGTACAGGGGAGTACGGTGCTGCCAAGGGTCCTCAATGCCTGAATGACCCTCAATGCGCAGGTAAGTGACACTGCCCCTAAAAAATCTCATTCCAGTGTGGTGATACGGCCCTGTTGGATGCCACATCACCTGCCGGGCACTGCCCAGAGAGTGGGAAGGGAAATGGCTCAAGAGATGGGCTCTACTTGTCACCTTCCTATTTGTTTGATAAAAGACACTTTTAATTCAGGATACTCAACTCTTCAGGTTTTGCAGGAATCTCACAGGCATTTGCAAAGACTAAGGAAGGGCATGGGGGCAGGGGGCGCTGGGCAGAAAGAAAACAGCGTGACACACAGGAGCTGCGAAGCCAGAGGCATGATACCTGGTGGGTCATTGCGAGGTTTCCTGTGGGGGGGGCCCTCTGAAATAGAGAGAGAGTCCTGGGTAGTTATCATCAGCCGACAGGAAGGACCCAGTTAAGTACATCTCTAATCATTAAAGGCATTGGCTTCAATTAAATGATGACAAGACACTTTAAGTCAACCATGCAGTGAAACTCTTCAGGCCACCAGAGCACAGGGAGAGGCTGGCACCTCAAAGGGGAGCAGTGTTAACTGGAAAGGAAACTTCTGTCCCTCAGAAGTTCCTTGAAACCTGTAAAGCCTGTGTTTCGAAAGTAAGCTAGTCTGGGATCAGCCTGGGACCTGGCCACTCTGGGCAGGGGACCTGTGCAGCTTCAAAGCTGATTACTACCTGGCCTTTGTTAGAAGCTTTGGCACCTCTGGCAGGAAAGTAACTTTTGCAGCTTGGATTGGAGCCGAGTAGCAAAACGGCAAATGAAGGTACATGGATCAGGCTCAGAGAGGGCTTGGCTGGAGGTTTGTCTGGTCGATAAAACTGTAGATTCCTGGGTAAGTCCCTGTGTGCTGAGGAGCTGGCTGGGCTTGCTGGTCTCACCCAAAGCTCTGGTGCCCAATTTTATGCTGTAGTCTACCCAGAAGACAGCTGGGGAGGTGTGACACGCTGTCCTGTCTGGCTTAATTTGGTACAGGCTGAAAACCACTGAGCTCAAGTGAGCAAACACAGCATGGGTAGGGAGTTGGGGTGTCTGTATCCCCATCACCAGGAGCACCAGAGCCTCCAGATCCCTGCAGAGTGCACTCAGGGGGTCTTTCTGACCTCTCAACCCTGGGAGCTGCTTCTTGGCTCCTACTGTACCCTGAGAAGTTGGGTCTGGCTTCCCTCCATCAAGAGGGAACAGGGTCTCCTCACAGCCTTGACACCGGAACCAGGAGGTGCTCCTCCTGGAAAAGGGTCCTGGCCTCTCCCCTGGTCTTCTGAAGTGGTTCCCAAATGCTGGAGTGGATACCCCAGGTGCTGGCTGCAGTGCACATCACTGAACGAATGAACTGCATGTGAGAAAGGTGTTCCATTTCCAAGTGAGGCCATCAGAGTCTCTTGATGCTGATGTGTGTTGTCACTCCCCTTTAAACTGAGAAGCAGGTCTCAGCCCTCAGTCTGTGGCCACAATCCTGTAGCTAGAGCTCAATATTATTTTTTGTTTTTGTTTTTTGAGATAGGGTCCTGCTACATAGCTCAGGCTGGCCTCGAACTTGTGGTGATCCTCCTGCCTCAGCCTCCCAAGTGCTGGGACTGCAGGTGTGTGCCACCACACCTGACTCAGTATTGCTTTAATGCCACTGTAGTATTTAACTGCATTGTGACCTGTTAATACAAGTGGAGCTGGCTTAAAAATAATAGGAGTGGTAAGTTTTACTTGTAAGTGAATGGCAGACAGTAAGGGGTCAAGGCAAATGACAAAAGTGGTGAGAGAATGAGTGAAGCCACTGTGCTCAGTGACTGAAGGTTTCCTGTGTGTCCAGCGCTGTCCTAGACAGCAGGGACGAACACACAAACCCCTCTGTTCTCATGGGAGACAGAGAAAATAATCAGCCAGTGACGTGGCGAATGCAGTGAGGGAGAGTGGGAGTCAGGGAATGAGCTTGGACATTTCAGACCGGGTGACTTTTTGAGTAAGGACTGAAAGGGAAAGAGGGAGCCCTCTCTGCAGAGAGCTGGGGGCAGGGTGAAGGCAGTGATCGGAAATAAAACATAAAGACGAGGCTTTGGCTGTGAGCGAAGTGTTAGACAAGATCCCTCTCGGGGCTGTGTTGGCAGCAGATCGTAAGAGGCAGCATGGAAGCCAGAGGCCCCTGAAGAGGCTGTGAAGGTGATCAGGATGAGGGGGATGGTGGCTCGGACCAAGGTGGCAAGAAATTGGGTTCTCGAAGTGCACTATTTTTAAGGGGTAGGGCCAGGGATTTAGCTCAGTGGTTCTGGCTCCTGCCTTGATAGCGCAACGTCCCGAGTTTGATTCCCTGATATCTGCCCCCCCCCAAAAAAAAAAAACACAACAATTTTTAAGGGGTAGTTGAGCGGTTTTCTAACAGATTAGATGTGGGGTGCAAGGGAAGGAGAAAAACAGGATAAGCCCAGGTTTGCAGTCTGAGGTGGAGGAGGAGGGGTGAAGCACTGCGACTGACTGGGCTCTGGGGCGTGTGAGGCCTGAGCTGCCTCTGGATAGCCAGGTGGGAAGGCCAGGTGGGGCTGGGGTCCTGGGACGGTGTCGGCTGGGAGAGAAAATTACTCCCTGAAGATGGAATTCTAAAGCCACCAGACTGGCTGAGGTCACTGGGGTTGAGGAGAGCGATGGGCAGAAGCAGGAGGACCAGATGGTCCAGTGGTCGGAGGGTTTTGAGATGGAGAGACAGCCAGCAAGTGGGGAGGGAAGGGGAGGGGCTGGGAAGCCCGGGGAAGAAGGTGGACGGGAGTGATGGGCCGCGCCTGTGAGGAGTGGATGCAGCCAGGGCCCGGGCCTTAGGTGGTGAGTGCGGCCCCCAGCACTCTCCTCCTGGAGTCGGTGGGAAGGGTGGGTGCCAGGGAGGGGCGGTGAGAGGTGTTTCCAGCTGATAGAGTAACTCAGCCAGAGGGAAATGTGGCAGAGGGGGACTCCGAGCAGCCGCCTGAGCAGATAAGGTGGGGGGAGCTGGCATAGGTGCTAGCAAGGAGGGGAAATGAGCACGGATGTCAGGACAGGGGTCTCTGGGGAAGTGGGAACAATTTCACCATCAGTTCTGGTTTTCAGTTAAACAGGAAGTGAGGTCATCAGCCGAGAGGGGTGGGGTGAGGCCTGGCAGGCATTGGAGTGGGTGTGGTGCCAGTGGTCTGCTTTGCTTGTGCCCCTTTGTGCTGTGGAGCAGATGAAGGTTGGATTTAGCTCGGCCTGTGTTCCCACCAAATGAGTCCAATGAAGCATGCGGGGGACCTGGGTGCTGGGGGGGTGTGAAAGGGGTGATTGTATCGGTGACAGTGGGCCTGAAGCTGAGTCGGGGATGTGACAGGAAGAGGTCAGCAGTAGGGTAAAGGCCCGAGGAAGACACACCCAGAGAAGGTGGCTGCAGATGGCCAAATCATGAGGGCTTAGAGGTCCCTTGTCACGCCTGACGGAGTGGCCAGATCATGCAGGGAACCAGAGGCTGAAGGCCACTGGGATGACAAAAGCAGAAGAACCTGCGGCCTGGGAGAGATGGAAGCCCAGAGCCAAACCTTCAGGGAGCCAAGCAGGGCAGACAGGCTGAGGAGGAAGCAGCCTGAGCAGCAGGAGCGGGGCTGCTGTCCTCAGGGGTGGGGCGGGCGACAGCTCACGCAGTGAGGGCACTGGGACCCCAGGGCGCACCTGCATCCTCAGGAGATGCTTTATTGTCCCATTCCCTGCCGGGGGATGCTAAAGACCCTGCCATGCACAAGCTGGCCCCTCCACAAGGGAGCATCCGGCCCCAATGTCAGTGATGCTGAGGTCCAGAAAGAAGGTACAGAGAATGTTCGGGATAGGGGGCTGGTAGTTGTGGAGGATGCGATGCAGTTTTCAGGAGATGGCAGGTGAGCCCAGAGGCTGCAGCCAGGCCCAATCTTGGCTCGCCTCAGTGCACCACCCTAGTGCCAGAACAGGAAGAAGCCCGGGAAGGAAGCCAGGGCTCTGGGGGCCGGCTTGTTGGTGCGCTCCAGCCGGCCCTCACCTGAGCTTGCTCTTGAGCGCAGTCACCTCTCGGCCCATGGCCTCATTGCTCTCAGTGGCCTCGTCCAGCTCCCGCTGCAGCTTCCTGCGGTTGGCGTTGATGCGCTGGGACTCCTCTTCGGCCTCCTCCAGCTGCCTCTTGAGCTGCTTGACTCTGTTGTTTCCTTTCTCCGCCTGGCAAGAGAGGGAGAGGGTCCGGAGAGGGCAGAGGGTGGGAGGCCTCGGGGCGCAGGGCGGGGAGGCAGCCAGCAGCCCACCTGCTCCTTGTACTGCTCAGCCATCTTGCGCTCGTCCTCCACCTGCAGCAAGGCTTCTCTCAGCTTTTTGTCCTTCTGCTTCAGGGACTTGGCAGCCGCCTGCTTCTCTCTGCAGGGTGGGGAAAGGGAGGCAGGTTCCGCGGGAGATGGCTCCCCTTGCAGTGTGGCTGCCAGGCACGGCGTCTCACCCTTTGTGAGCGCTTTTTCTTGCGCCTCAAAGCAGGACGTATGCCAAGGGTTAGCCAGAGGGAAGGAGACTATTTGGCCATGAAAGGCAATGAGGTGCCAGGGGAGGTTACATCCTGGATGAGCCCGGGAAACACCTTGCTAAGAGGAAGAAGCCACATATCCCAAAAGGCCATGTGGCGTACGATTCCCTGTATACAAAACATCCAGAGTAGGGTAATGCAGAGAGAGAGAAAGTAGATTCTTGGTTACTGGGGGCGATGGGAAAACCAGGAGGGGGTCATGGCTAAAGGGCATGAAGTTTCTTATTTATTCATTTATTTATGAGACAAGGTCTCACTATGTAGTTCGGGCTGGCCTTGAACTTGCAGCAATCCTGCCTCAGCCTCCCAAGTGCTGGGATCATAGGTGTGCACCACCATGCCCAGCTGAAGTTTCTTTTTGAGGTGACAGAAACGTCCTAAAATTAACTGTGGTGATCACTTCACATGTCTGTAAATATACTAGAAGCTGTTGAATTGTGCACTTAATATTGGTAAATTGCAAAATGTGTGAATTATCAATAAAGCTGCTACTAAAAAGGTCAGAATACTTAGTCATAAACGTGACCTTGTGCCTGAGTTGACCTGAAATTAAGATGCCTCGATGTGTTTGTAGGGTGCAAGGTTTGGTGTTTGGAATCCTGTAGACCTGTCAGCAGGAATTCCCGGTAGACAGAGGTTAGTAACAGCCATGTGTGCTCCTGGGCTAAAGTCACGAGGCCCACTGCAATGCTAAGGGCAGCTGCATGTTAAGTGCCGCCTCTGGGCCAGGCACACAGCCCTTTCTGTGTCTCCATCCTTCCCCCACCACAAACCCGCAGTGTGGGCACCTCTAAGCTTCTTTTTCACAAGCCAGAACTGAGGCTCTCGTTACCCAACTTCCTCAGGGTCCCCCGAGTAAGCTGGGGTAGGAACTCTGGTCCTCCCATACCTGGCCTCCTGCTCGACCTGCTCCTCCAGCTGCGCAATCTTGGCCTCCAGCGCTGCGATGGTGGACTTGAACTTGGACTTCACCACCCCCTCCATCTCCTGCAGCTTGCTACGGAGCTCCTTGTTCTGCCTCTCCAGCTGCTGCCGTGCACTCTCGTTTTTCTGGGCCGTGCTTCGCTCCGTCGCCAGCTCATTGTTGAGCTGTTCAGCCTGTGAGGTCGAGGTGCAGGCCATGAGGTGGAAAGCACAGGAGCCAGGGCAGTGCCTGGAGGCCATGAACCTTCGCCTGCATCTCCAGCCTCGGTTGGCCCTAGAGGAGTCCTTGGGCCAAGGTGCCACCCTCCTCTCTCTATGTTACCCAGCCAACTCCCAGGAAGCCTAAGACTCAGCTTGTGAGCCAGCTCTTCCAGAAGCGTCCCCTGCCACTGAGGCTGTGTGAGGGTCTGTCCTGTGTCCACCATCACCTCGCACGGTGGTCCCAGTGTGCACTGCGGCAGAGGCTCTGTCATCTTCACGTGGCAGTGTCACTGAGGGCTTAGTGCCAAGGCCAGCACCTGGGCCCAGGGAAGGAGCAGTGAAGGGGACACCAGGGCACGTCGTCTCGTGGAAAGAGCCAGACAAGTCCTGGCTAACAAAGATGACCGTGCGGCTGGTGCGAGGTGTCCCGAGGGTGCAGGTGGGACGCTGACTGGAGGAGGGAGGAAGGGCCCTAAGTCCCTATGTCCGGTCTCAGCCTCTGCACCCCTGTGCCGGGCCAGCACGCAGCAGGCCTAAGGTGTGTGTCCCTAACCAGTGCAGGACTTGGACCTAGGCCCTGCTCCAGGACAGATGCAAGGCACCGTGCTCATCTGGTGCAGGGACCGTGGCCCTGGTGGTCTTGCCCTGCTGCAGCCTCCTGTCTGCTCCTGAGACCTGAGTGCAGGGGCCACATGCCTGACAATGGTGCCCCATGTAAGAGCAGGAAACAGCCACCTGCAGCTAGGCAGGGGTGTAAAAATGCCCGCTGGCCGTTCACTCCCAGCCCCTGGTGGCAGAGGTAGCCGGCTTCCTGGAGCCTTCTGTGCGGACTTACCTAGCCCGGGGAGCTGTCCCCCCATCTGCCCTCGCCTTGAGGTCAGGGTGTCTGTCACACACCTGCTGCGTGGCCTTGCGGACCCGGTCGCTCATGGCCTCCATGTTGCCCTGTTCTTCCTCCAGCTCCTCCTCCAGCTGGGCGATCCGGGCCTCCAGGCGGCGCTTCTCATCTTGCAGTGTGTTCCTGAAGAGACACAGCTGCCTTGGGGGCCTGAAGCCTCACCCTGGCCTACAGGTGCCTCTTCCTGGAGGAGTTAGGCCTCAGGTTGCCCTCGTTCTCTAACTGGGGAAACTGAGACTCAGAAGATTAGGACGCTCATCCAAGATTGCTGGTTAGGAGGCGGGGAGCCAGGACTTGTACCTGGGCCTGTGTCCGCAAAGCCAGGACTGAGGCGGGAACACCACTAGCTCTTCTTTCCTGGGCCCGCCACACTACTCATTCAAAATGAGCAAAACTGGCCATACTCCAAATAGGGTCATGGAAAACCCAGGGGAAAACCCCTCCACCACCATGGATCTGTCTGCTGTCGGAGCTCAGGAGTACTCCTTGATCCTCAGCATCAGAAGGGGTCCAGGGTACTCCTATGAGCTGTCTTCCCCGTGCTCGGCTCCCTATACCTTCCCGACAAGCTGCTGGCCAGCTCCTCAGCCAGCTCCTCCTTCTCCAGGTCGGCCTGCTTGCGTGCCCTCTCAGCTGCTGCAAGATCCTGCAGGAGCAGCAGGGAGGAGAGCTGTCATCTTCTGGGGATGGATCCAGCCCCACCCAAGAGGCCACCTGCTCCTGTCACTTAGCCCTCCACGGTCTCTGAAGCACCTTGAAATGCAAGTTCTGCCTGAGCTCAGGGAGCCCCCGAAACAACATCATCTGTCTTTGCTCTTACAGCGTGGGTCTGCCCATTTAGGACATTGGCTGAGGGAGGAGATCGGTGGATGCCCAGGCCCGTGCCCCGCAGGGTCCTGTCAGGAGGAAGCCTGTACCTCCTGGAGCTGCATGAGGTCGGCCTCCAGGCTCTTGGCTTTCTTCTCATTCTCCTTGGCAGTGGCAAAGATCTCGTCTCTGGAGGTGCGGGCATCTTCCAGCTCTCTCTGGAAGTCCTTCATCTGAGCCTGAGAGTCAATGGAAGGACAAGCCAGACGTCGTCATTCCACCTGGTTCCACGGGCAGACTTACCTCTGCGTGCCAGACCCTCGGGTCTTCTGCTAACCACAGAGAAGTCCCTGGGGCATGGCTCTGCCCTGTCTCGTGTGGTTGGGGGCACCACGCTGCCTGGGCTCAGCAGACCTAAGAAGCTGAGCCTCTAGTGTGATCTGAGGGCAGTGGCCATGTGCCTGATTGCCGTGTCCCACTCAGGAAACAGTCAGCCAAAGCCATGTAGGAGTGGAAGTCACCCGCCAAGCTGGCACCCACAACACAGGCAGGCCTGCTTCCTGGAGCCTTCTGCACTGACTTACCTGACCTGGGGATTGCCCCCCCCTCCCCCGGCACAGGCCTGAACTCGGAGAGAGTCACCCACCTGCAGTTTTCGGAGCTGCTTGATGGCTTCCTCCCTCCCCTTGATGGCGGAGTCAGCCTGAAGCTCCAGGTCTTTCAGGTCTCCCTCCAGCTTCTTCCTGGCTGCTGCCGCCAGGGCACGCTGCTTCCGCTCGTCCTCCAGTTCCGTCTCGTACTCGTGAAGCTGAGTGAGGAAGAGATGTGTGCGGCCCAGGACCCCTCGGAGGCTGTGACCCCGCTCCGGGACGTTCGCAGGCCTGGCCAGCACAACTGCCCGCTGTCCTCCATGCAGCCCACAGCCAGGGGTGGAGAAGGGGAAGGGGCTGCCCGCCTCCCTCTCCTGCCTGCCCCTAGGGCTCACCTGCCGCTGCAGCTGCCGCCTCTTCTCCTCGTTCTGCTCATCCCGGGCTTGGAGATCCCTCTCCAACTGGCCCTTGAGCGCCTGCATGTTGACCTCTAGTCGCAGCTTGGCATCTTCGGTGGCCTGCAGCTCATCCTCCAGCTCTTCCAGCTGCGTCTTCATCTCCTCCATCTGGGTCTCCAGGGCCCGCTTGGACTTCTCCAGCTCGTGCACCTGGCAGGCAGAGCAGCAGCACCTTTACTAAAGTGAGGCTGGACCCCAGAAGAGCAGCAGCTCATCAGGACAGAGAAGTGGCCTTGGGCCTCCAGCAGGATGAACAACCAGGGACTGAGATGGCCCCTGGGAACTCAGTCCAGCCCCTCCCATGCCCACCCAGCCTTCCTGTCCTGAGGATTGCTCAGTAGGAATGAGGCTGTGGCAAGGCACTTACGTTCTTGCCCACATCATCCTTAGAGCTGACCAGATCTTCCATCTCGGCCTTGAGCATTTTGTTGGTCCTCTCGAGCTCCTCCTTGGCTTCCAGGGCCTCCTCAAGAGCCCTGGCCAGGGACAAGGCCTTGGTTTCCTTCTCCCTGGCTTCTGCTTCAGCTCGGTCCCTCTCATCTGCGTATTTGGAAGAGATGTTCTTCTCCTCGGCTAACAACTGCAACATAACAGAAGGCTCAGTGGTGCCCCAGCATAGCTGAGGCTCGGGCTCACTGAACCGCAGATGTGAGGAAGAAGCCATGTGTGCTACTGCAGGTACCCTGGTGCAGTGGGAAGCATTTTAGATGCTTTCAGAAGTTGTTTGTGGTCATCTTGCTTTCTCACTTCTGGATCATGCTGCTGATGTCAGTTAGGACACAGAACATCCATCCTGCCACTAAGGTCAAAGTGACCTTGAATCCTACTCAGGGCCAGCAGTTCTTTGGTTGTCTTGTGGGCACAAGTAGCTATCTCCTAAAATACCCACGTGCCACACACAGCGGGGCAATGGGAAATATGCACAGACGTGCACACACGTCTCCCTCTGCTTGAGAAGCAACTCAGAGAACATTCCATCCTGAAGCTCATCCTGTCTTTAGGGTGCGTTCTAGATTACAGTACCCAAAACCAGACTTCCAGAATTTAGCAAGGACTGGTCAGTAACAGGAACCTCCAAACTGCACAGTCAACACAAAAACTCCATGCTATGTGTGTGCTGGAAGGAACAGAATCAACCTCAGGCCTCCATGGATAACGAAGCAATGAGGGGAAGCTGGCAGCCCAGGGAGGGAGACTGTTGGGAGAGGGAAGGATTGGGATGTCCGGAGCTGAGACCAGCAGGAGCCCTAAGCTCCCCCGTGCCTCTGCCTTTGACCTCCATACAATCTAAACTTGAGTTGTAGAATAACCCTGAGTCACATGAAATAAATGGGTAATGTCTATTAAAATTTAGTTTTTAGGGTTTGAGCTATACAGTTGTGTGCATTTATCAGAACTCAGCATACACTTAAGATTTGTGCATTTTATCATGTATAAATTTTACCTCAAAAGAAGCAGAGTTATTTTTTAAAATGAACTCAAGTTAACAAGCAATGCTGAGGTGTTAAGGGAGAAATACCCAAATGCCTGTAATTTGCTTTAAAATGCACCCAGAAGAGAAAACGTGATTGGCAGATAGAATTTGTCTTTATAAATAAGTACGTGACAAAGTACACATAAGAAAATGTTAGTGGTCGAATCCATGTGGTGGCTATACAGGTGTCCACTGTAATCTTTTCATGTTGTATGCTTGAAATTTTACATGATGAAATGTTAGGGAAAAGTGATAGTAAAGAGTATAAACTTCGAATTACTTGGAAAACTCAATAGGTGCTCCATGAATACTCACTGGGTGAATAAATGAACCTCGCTCCTTATCAGGGCTGGAAACTAAAACCTTGCTGTGTTTGCAGATGGCCCTTGTGGTGCTAGTAACTGGAAGAGTCACTGTCATCGAGGCTTCTACTGGTGTCCATGCCCTCGTGTGATCTGATCTAGACAGCCTTCCATCGCTTCCAGCAAAGTGGACATGGGATGCAGACACCCACCTGCCACCCCGGGGGCCATGCTGTCCTGAGGACAAAGTGGAGGACCCTCTACCCCTACCTGATCAAACTTCTTCTGCTTCTTCTCCAGGTTGGACACCAGTTGCCGCTGGTTGTCCAAATCAACAACCAGGTCATCCAGCTCCTGCTGAAGCCTGTTCTTGGTCTTTTCCAGTTTGTCATAAGCAGCTGCCTTCTCCTCATACTGCTGGGTAAGGCCCTCGATTTCCTTCTGGAACCTCTTCTTCCCTTCCTCCATGGCTTCTATGGTGCCGGCCAAGTCCTGTAGCTTCTTCTTCGAGTCAGAGAGCTGAAAGCAGTGGCCAGGATGGGGTGAGAAGAGAGCCCTAAGCAACCCCTAAGCCTTGCCCACCAGGCCCTTCTCCTCACTGAAGACATCCAACAGCAGGGGTGCTGGTGAGCCAAGCAACCTGGCACCACTGTTCAGCCACAACCAAAATGCTAGGCCAGAAGAGGAGAGGACCATGACCTGAGCAAAGACACATGGCAGGCACCTGGATATTGTGTATGGTGGTGGCGATGGGGAGGGATCATGTCACATGGCAGGCACCTGGATATTGAGGGAGGAGATGTGGCGCTCCAGGTTCTGCTTAGCCTCCATCTCCTCATCCAGTTGGTCCTGCAGGCTGTTCCTTTCATCCTCCAGCTGGCGCAGCTTGGTGGACACGTTTAGCTTCTGCCGGGTTTCTTCCTGAAGCAGCTCCTGTGAAGAGCAAACACAGAGGAAGGTCGCACCCAGAGGAAAATCGCACCCAGGTCCCCTGGCTGATGTGGCACCCTACCCACCTGGGTGTCCTGGAGCTGGGACCCAAGGGACGCCACATCCTTGGCCAGTTTGATGGCCTTGCCCTCCGCCTCGTTGAGCACGCCTGTGACGCTCTCCACTTCGTTCTGAGGGTGCCAACACATCGGTCAGCCACGACGTCTAGAACAGGGTCCTCGTTAGGCAAGGGGAGGCCTTTTTTACTAAAAATGCATCACGTGCCTCATGGGATAGGACCTGTGAGGTCCAGGAACTGAGAAAATGCCCCTGTGGTGTAGGGAATTCTGTGGCCCTTAGGGAAACCCATCATCTACCAGCTGGGTTTCCTGGCCCAAGAACCTGTTAAGAGCCCCAAACTATTGACTGGACCCTGATTCCACGAACTGGAGTCTGGATGCCTGCCAAGGCTAACAAAGATGAAGCAAGCCTGAAAGTCCACGTGCTGAGAGAGCCTCTGCCTTCCGCTCCCACCACTGATGTCTCCAGGCAGGCTCTCTGGAGATGTCATCCTGCTGCCCTTCTCCTCCATTTACATCGAGGATGTAAGGGACCTTGACTGCTCTTCTGGGACAGAACTTGTCACAGGGGAACAAAATCCCTACCCTCAACTGCATGCAAGGGAAAAAGTCACAGTGTTCCCCCCTGCCCCAAGCTCCAAGCTGTAAGCACATTAAATACTGATCAAACTTCTGACCATTTCCCACTAATAAAAATTAAGGCCCAATGTGTCTTTCAAGCTAAAGACCAAAGATGAACACATTATGTTGTCAGTTTAGATGGCTTCAGAGCAAAGCCAGGCAAACATCTAACGGGGCCTCAAAGGCCCTGCAGTACCTGGCCAGTCTACCTCTCCAGTCCCACTCTGTACATCTCTCAGCACCCCAGCTCTCCTGGCTTCCTTGACTCCTGATTTTCCCATTTACCACTGGGCCTTTGCACACGCTGACCCCTCTGCCTGGGCGACTCACTGTCCAATTTTAGTCCTCCCGAGGGAAGCCTTTTCTGAACCCTCTCCCGATCCGGGCCTCCTTGTTATTTACAGGTACAGCATAACCTGCCTCCCCTTGCAGTGTCATTTGATGTCCATGTGTGGTGAGTGTCTCCCCCAGCCTGCTGGGCTGGCGTCCTCCTGGGACAGTGTCTGTCTGCTTCCTTGCTGTTGCACCTCAGGATTAAGCACAGGGCCTGGCATTCAGCAGATGCTCACTAAATACTTTCAGTGGCTGATGGTTTGGAAAAGATTAAGCTGAGCAGCGGAGCGTGTACTAGAGGAAGCCTCCCTGGGTGGTGGCCCGAGAGACCTCGGTTGGTGGTGAGGGTCCTCTTCCTGCAGAGCAGGAAGTCCCGGAGGGCTCCGTGCTGCCCCTCACCTGCAGCTTGTGCACCCTGTCATTGAGCTCCGCCCGGGTCCGTTCCCCATCACTGCACTTGGACTGCAGCTCCTGCAGCTGCACCTCCAGCTTCTTCTTCTTGTGCTCCACCTCCTGCTTCGCCTGGCCCAGGACCCGCAGCTCCCCGGCCAGCTCCGCGTTCTCCTTCTCCAGCATCTGCTTGCTCTTGTCCAGGTTCGCCTTGGCCTGCCCGAGTGAGCAAGGGGAGTGGTGGCTGGTGGGAGTGTGTTTGCTGCCTGCCCGAGCACCCTCCTCCTCTGCTGCCCTCCCACGTCATTCCCGGGACAGTGCCCCTTAGCCCAGGGGAGAGAGGTGGCAATAAGACTTTTGGGATTCTGTTTCCCCAGAGCAAACTGCCGCCCCACTACCTGTGTGTGTCCCACTTCTGTCATCTCCCATTTGACCCACTCAGTACTCTTTAAAAAATTGGTTGCAGGGCCGGGGATTTAGCTCAGTGGTTCTGCTGCCTGCCGTGCAAGCGCAAGGACCTGACTTCGATCCCCGGTACCAAAATAAATAAATAAATAAAAATAAAATAAACTAAAAAATTGGTTGCCAATATCTTAGTAAATTTCACACAAAAGTCTAGACTTGGTGTCTCTTTTTAAACACCTAATGTTCTATATCATATCTAGTGGTTTCAGGTATACATGTTTGTCAGAATTCACTGAACTATATGCTTAAAATTGATGAATTTAACTGCACATAACTCAGTAATTCTGACTTTCAAAAAGCAAACTAAACATCTGGAAACAGGAGTCTTGCCCTCCTCCAAGGCAAAACTCAGCTGGATCTAAGCGTGGCTGGCCCAATAGGTGGGATGGCAGTGCTGTATCTGGCCCCAGTCCCTGGCATTCCCTATTGCCTTTCACATTTATCAGTGGATTTACAGTTTCTGTGATGCATCTAACCTGCACCTGTGGGCATCTGAGTCGCCCTAAGGAAAAAAGTGGGGTAGGGCTGGGGATTTAGTTCAGTGGCACCTCGCCTGCCTCGAAAGAGCAAGGTCCTGAGTTTGATCCACGGTACCAAAAAAAAAAAAGTGGGGCAAACACAGAAGAAGGGGGGCTTCTCATAGGGCTAGAGGAAGGAGAAAGAGCCAGGAAGAAGTGTGCGGGTCCTGCCTGGTCCTGACAGCTCGCCGTGCAGCATCCAGGCGGCCACAGGGGACACTGCAGGGCCTGGCAATGAGCAGGAGCTGCTGGGACAAGGCGCCTCCTAGGATTAATAGTACAGATTGATGGGCAAGGGCCTTGGGGACCTAGTATCCCCCCAAACCTTTGCCCAGCCTAAGACCCAGAACTGTCAAACGGCGTGTGCATAAGAGGGGCACAGGTGAGACTATTAAAAAGTTCCCCAGCCAGTTTAGGGACACAGGGTTCCCAGGCAGACCTGAGCCTGTCACAGCTCAAGTGCAGGCCTCTTTCCCTGAGCCTGTGCTGGGCAGAGGTTCTCAGCCTCTGTCTGCTCCCTGCATGTCGGGGACAGACATGGTGTCTGCGGGTGGCCTTAACAGGGGAGTTCTTCCAAAAAGCCCTGGCTCCAAATGCAGGGGTGACTTCACATTCCTGCTTATATCTAATGACATCCAGCTGGGGACCCAGTCTTCCCACAAGACAGTGAAAAGGAACAGGTCTGCTTCAATATGGCCCTGGGGGCTGTTGCAGAAGGTGGAAATATCCCAGTTGGGTTCAAATCATATAAAAGTTAAATAAACAACAGCCACAAAAACAAAAAACAAAATACAAAAAAACCCAATTGGGGACATGGAAAAAGGAAGCTATTTGAAGACAGGAATGTGTGTAATAATTCTAACAAAATTTTTTTTGTCCAAAATATGTAGAGAATCAACAGAATGCTTAAGACTAGTGTTCAGAGCCCACATGACAAGTAATAAGAGGACCTGAGGACCCTGAGCAAGCGTCCATTTATTCATGTGGAGGTGAGGGTGAGCTCGGTCTTGGACAACACTTCTCCAAGGGTGGTCCGAGACCGCTTCCCATCGGGGTGGAGGCCTGGAAATTGCACTTGAACAAGGGCCACAGGTGAGAGGAAATGTGTCATTACCTGTAAAGCACTGGGGACAGTACCTGGCTCATGTTAAGCGAAACTGCACAAAGGATTGTTACTGTAATGTAAAGGTTGAGATTCCAACAGAACAGGGTGAGCCAGTACCCAGAAAGGGCAGAATGTTCATTCACCGTAACTAGTGATGGGATCCACTGCAGACTCAACTACTTTTAGGTGATTCTGCCCCTGTTTAACCCAGGTGAGCCACATCCCACAGTTTATTTTTTGAGATAGGGTCTTGCTAAGCAGCTAAATTCCCCAGGCTAGCTTGACTTTGTGATCTTCCTGCCTCAGCCTCCCAGAGGCTGGGATTACAGACAGGTACCACCACACCGGGCTTACCTTTTCTCTTTATAGGTTGATGATCTCAGTTGTGATAGTGACGGAAAGCAGACCACTGAGTGCCTGACAGAGTCTAGGTATGACAGTGTGTGGGAAGTACTTACTAACCATGAACCGCTCCACTTAACATTACAGCCTTGTACACCTTGGGATTCATCTTCGTACAGCCCCCGACGCACACAGATTGAGTATCCCTGAGTATCCCTTATCGAAAATGCTTAGGACCAGGGGAGTCTTAGATTTCATATGTTTTTTAGAATATGGAATGTTTGCATGTAGTTTATTAGGAGACAGCTTGGGACAAGGACCCCAACACAAAACTCACTTATGCTCCAGATAGCCCTCATGTACATGGACTGAAGGTGATTTTATACAGTATCTTCAGTGCACTGTGTGTGTGTGTGTGTGTGTGTGTGTGTGCCTGCGCACACATGTGTATAGGGGATTGAGCCCAGTACTATACACAGTTGCATCCTCAGCTCCACCCCCATTCTGAGATGGGGTTTCGCTAAGTTGCTAGACTGGACTTGAACTTGTGATCCTCCTGCCTCAGCCTCCCAGAGTATTGAGATTCTAGGTGTGCACCCCCACGCCTGGCTAGCACACTGGGTTTTGACTGTGATTCATGACAGGAAATGAGGTGTGTAATTTCCCACTCATAGTGTCACGTTCATACTCAAAAAGCTTTGGATTTTGGCGTATTTCAGCTTTGGGGGCCGGGAGGCTCAACCTGCCATTGTTCGAAGCCTCTGACACACTGCTCTCGCATGTGCTGTCACGACCAGCATCACAACGCACCCTCTTGAACTGCTCCAGCTGCTCCGTGAGCTCCTCCACCGCCTGCGTGTGTTTCTGCCTCATCTCCTGGACCTGGGCCTCGTGGGATCGTGTCTCCTCATCCAGCGCCTTCTTCAGCACGGTTACCTCCTGCTCCCTCTTGGCCCTTGGCAAGAAGAACAAAGTGGATGTCACTCAGCAACAGAGCTTCTCCTCTGATGTCTCCATGCAAAAGGACAAGTGCTCTCCCAGGACCCACAGGTAAAATCCTCCTCATCACTGCTTCCTTGCTGTGTGACCTAGAGTAATTCACCTAACCTCTCTGGACCTGTAATATCCAGCTGCAAAATGGGGAGCATTTTACCTGGCCAGAATCTCTCTCAAGGCTAGCAAACAAATATGCAGAATCATACTGACAATTGCAAAATGTCCCTCAAATATTAATGCTGGCTCTCCCTCTAAGTCAGGCGTGAGCTAGATTTATTATATCATCCAATCCTCAGAGAAACCCGATAGGCAGGGATATCCCTGTTCCTGCTTTACAGATGGGGACTCTAAGGCGGAGAGAGGGTAAGCAGCGAGCTCACTGTGTCATAGCCGCTGGGGGACACAGCTAGAACGTGAAGCCTATCAGACTCTGCACACAAGGCTTTAATTACCACACTGTGCTTTGCTGTATCACTGGCAAGGTGGGAAGGGAGCAGAATATCATGCTGGCCTCCAGGTGGGTGTAAGCAGTGCGGCACCAAATCCCCAGTGTGGGAAGTAACCTCAGGGTGCACAAGGCTAGCACAGACCCTGGAGCCGGATGCACTCCAAACACATTCATAAATGATCTTGTTTTCCTGGAGTTGGCATTTGTTATCTGGCAGATGGTCCATTCTTGTTTTATGCTCTTGTCTGTTTACTTGCAGTGGGTCTTAAACTGAAGACTAATTTATGAATATTATTTTTAAAGTTTGGCACAAAACTTACACCCTTGGAGATTTACACATACAAAAATATCTCAGGAAGACTACTCAGAGATGTTAACCGTGGTGGGACTAAAGGTGAATTTGTGTGTGTGCATATACATTTCTATAGTTTTTCGATTTTCTCTCATTGACTATGCACCACTATTGTGATACAAATTAAGAGTAAACATAATCATGCTTCTTTCTGTTCATTAAAACAAAATGCCACCAGGAAAGGAATGTATAGGCCAGTGATGGTGAACCTTCTAGAGACCAAGTGCCCAAACTGCAACCCCAAACCCACTTACTTATAGCTAAGTACCAACACTGCAATTAAACCTGAATACTGAGGTTTTAGTTTAGAAAAACAACTGGTACCCAGTCCGTGGCTGCTGGGGTGACTTGACGCGCATGCCTGCCACGGCACGTGTGCCGGAGGCTCACCACCCCTGGCATAGGGCCTGAGGAATCCTGGGCTTTGGGATTCGCTGTGGTGGTGGTGGCTTCTCCCCCACTCCTCACCTGAGCTCCTGCTGCGTGGCGGTGGTGTCTAGCGTGTCCTCCAGCTCTGTCTTCAGCGCCTCCAGCTCCTCCCCAAGGTCTCGCTTCTGCTTCTCGGCCTTGTTCCTCGCGGCCCGCTCAGAGTCCAGGTCCTCCTGGAGGTCTGAGATGTGGCCCTCCAGCTCCCGGATCTTCTTCAGGGCATTGTTCTTCTGGGCCATTTCATCATCCAGCCTGCAGGGAAGGCGGCACGATGAAGACCCCAGTGACCCACCCGTGATCTCACCGTGCGGCCAGAAAGTGTGGTCGGGGACCAGGCTATTGTGTTCCAAGGCTCTCAGAACATGTCCAGCCCATGTCCCCAGGACGCAGGACTCTTCCTTGCTCTGCTGGACAGCTTGGAGATCGGCTCAGGATGACAAAAATGATGTAAAATCAGGTCACAGAGTGCCTACAATCCTAGCACTCGGAGAGTCTGAGGCAGGGGGATTACAGGTTCAAGCCCAGCCTGGGTAATTTAGTGAATTAGGGAGACTCTGTCTCAAAACTTTTAAAAAGTTTTAAAAAGGTCTGGGATGTACCTCAGTGCAAAGGCCCTGGTTTAATCACCAGCACCATGAAAAAAGAAATCAGGCCACACACACACGTGCGTGTGCGCGTGTGCGTGTGCGTGTGCGTGTGTGACAGAATGCAAAGCACTGGCCCCAGACTAGCAGAGCTGCCTGGTCACAGCAGGCACTTACTGGCTGCTCTCTGAACGTCAGGCAGTTCTTTCCCCTCCCTTCCCTGGCTCACAGCGACTGAGGGCCGCTCCATGCAAAGTACTTGCCCAGGTGCTGCTTGGGGCATTAGAACCCAGCCTGGCGTAGGCAGTGATGGGGCTCGAGGTGGCGTCTGAGAAGCCCTGGGAGAGTTTCGTGGAAGCAGTGGCATGCGTGTCGGTTTTTCATAATGACAGAAAGGCATGGTATGAGGGAAGGCCCAGAGGCCAGGGCAGGGAAGAACTTTGATTTTACTGCACTTGTGGATGGGCAGCAGCAGAGAGAGAGAGCAAATGGCTGGATTAGGGTGACTCGGGTGGTAGAGAACTCTGATGGCCTGGCCCAAGGAACCTGGCCTTTTCTGAGTCAACCAGCAGTCTCAGAGCTGGTCTGAGCCCCAGAGTGAAGTTCCTCATTGATTACCCTGGCGCTGTCGTGCAGGACAGACTGGAAAAGAGAGAGCTGGGCCAGGATGCTTTGGGGCTGGAATCCCAGCTCTGCCTCTCCAGAGCAGCATGACAAGTCACCCGCTCTGTCCCTTCCTCGGCAAAATGAAGCTAACAGTGGTGCACCTTGCCCAGGGTCTGCAAAGATTGAGCAGGTGAATCGCTGTAGCTTGTTACTGACGAGATAGTCCCAGTGTGAAGCCAGCTAAGCCCGAGGAAAAGGGAGACAGAGGGAACAGGTGGGGCACCTCTCGAGGGACTGGTGATTCTGAGGCTGCTGCCTGCTGTGTGTGGGAGGAGGAGGGTGGGCGGAAGCCAGGGAGGGGACTGGTGTTCACAGAAAGAGGGACAGAGGGAGGGGGCTGGGAGAAGTGTCACCCCAGCCTTAGACACGTGGCGTTCAGGCTGCCAGCTGAAATGGATTCAGCAGGTGACTGGGCATTCGGAACCAGGGTGTAAACAAGAAAGGCCTGGTCGCCCGAGAGGCTGCATCAACACCATGGGATTGGGAATGCCAAGAAGATGCATTTGGAGGGAAGAGAAAGAAGGCAAAGGCAAGGTTTTAGGGGTAAAGGCAGGGTGGGGGAAGCTAGCTGGGGCCTGGGCTGGGAAACAGTCCACCCTGAGGGCCTGGGGCTGCCTCGAGTAAGGCAGCCACTGCGACTGATGGGGGCCTCCAGACTCAGGGGTGCACCGTGACACAGGGCTCTTTGCCACCTTGCCAGAGCCGCCTGTAGCTCCTCCTCCTTCTTGGCCAGCTGCATCTTGAGCTCTGCGATCTGCGCCTGGAGGTCAGCGATCTGTTCGTGGAAGTCACTGGCGTCGCCTTCCAGCTTCCGCTTCAGCTTCTCCAGCTCCTGCCGGCTCTTCTCCTCCTTCTTCAACCGCACTGCAACAAAGCCAGGGCCTCAGGAGGGGGCACCGCCAGGGGACACCCAGCTGGGGCATTTTGCATGGAGAAAATCGACACACGCACCTTCGCCCGGACCGGTGTCCTACAGACAAAGTCAGGCCCCACTACAAGCACCGAATCAGTGTGTGCAGATTCGGGAGCGTGGACAGAGCCCACTGCTCTGGGAATGCCTACTTCTCCAGGATTTCCTTTCTGACTTTCCTGGTTGAGAAGATACCCATTCAAAACCTCTTTTTACCTTCCAGTTCTGAAATCATGGACTCATGCTTATTTTTCAGCTTGGTCAGATTCTTGGCTTTTTCTTCCTCTTCTGCTAAATTTGTCGTCAAGTCACTAATCCTCTCTTCAAGGAGTTTTCGCTCCTTTGGGAGAAAGAGAAATAAGTATTAGCTTTTTATTTTTCTCCACGATCTATGTTTTTCTTTAAGTCGATTCTGTATAAACAGTTGAAAACCAAACCCACATTCTAACCAAATGCAGCCTAGAGTTTTAAATAGCAAAGAGAAGATCCTTAATTCCCCAAACTGGGGTCATCTCATCACAGTCTGTCGCCCACAACTGTGTTCAGGTGAAAGGACCCTCTTTCCATTCCCACCACAGGCCAGCTGGCACGCTGTACCATTCCCCTCTCTCCAACTCTTCCTACAGGTTTCCCTACAATGTCACTTCCTCCACAAAGCTTTCCTGAACACCCTGCCTCCACCAACTAGTGTTCTGCTCAATAAGAGCATGACTGCCTCCTTCGGGGCCCTCATCACAGTGGTGAGCAATGGTTTCTGCTGTCCGCTGGAGGGTAAACCCCGAGGACAAGGCCACCTGACACGGGCCTGGGTCTCAGGTGGCCCGGCTGACATCAGCTCCGAGAACTAACAGGAGCCCCCTCGGTAGGATGGTCAGTGATCACTGCAGAGGGTGACCAACTCATCCCAGTTGGCCTAGGGCTCCTCTGTCTTCGGGATTGGAGGTACCACGTCCCAGAAACCCCTCTGTCCGGGAGAGCCTGTCCTGTCTGATGCCGAATCTGCACACCACTCACTTTGGACAGTTTGTTATTCTGATCGTCCATGACCAGGATGTCATCCTCCAGTTTCTTGATCTTGGCCTCGGCTGTGACCTTCTCCAGCTGCAGCTTCTGTCTGGCAGCTTCCTCCTCCTCCAGCTGTTCCTCTAGGTCCTTGTCAGGAGGGGAAGGAATCAGAGCCTCACTTAGAACAAAGTCGCTGTCCGAGAGCTCTGGAGCTGACACGCGGAGGAAAGGCCTGCTAACACTCACTCTTCAGTCTCCTTCTAGCAGGAGGAGATAAAAGGCTTGAGCGAGCTGCTTGGCCTTGTGGAACCTCGGCCCCCTCGTCTGTGAAATGGGGACAGTGGGTGCTACAGTGGCTCTGAAGTAGGTCCACAAATACTCTGGTACTCATCCCTCCCAGAATTCCCCTCCCCTTGGCTATGGTCTGGGCTCAGTGACTTGCTTCTGGAGAGAGAATCAGGAGGCAGTTACAGAGCTCCATGAAAGGCTGTGCAGCCCCCTTCATGTTGGATCACTCTGGGGCGGCCCACCACCATTTTGTGAGGACACCTGAGCAGCCCTTAGGTCGAGGACCTGAGGCCTCTCGCCGAGAACCACGTGGAGATGGATCCCCCAGCCCAGGCAAGCCTCCGAATGACCGTGACCTCGGCTCACACCTGGATTGCAGCCTCTCAGTGACTGCACCAGAGTCACTCAGTTCAGCCCCTCCCAAACCCTTAAATACGTGAGACAAATATTAATTGCAGCTGCTGAGTTCGGACTCTTTTGTTAGGCAGCAGTAACTGACTCTTACAACTGCCCTTCACAGAAGGTTGCCATCAGGAGATAGGGTGTCAGCACACAGAAGGCAGGATAGCAGGACAGCGGGGGCGCCTGAGACCTGTATCCGAATCCTCCAGCTCTGTGGCCTGGGGCAGAAGCACATCCCCTCTGAGCCCTGGCCTCTTCACCTGTCCAGTGGGGCCGTCTCATCCAGTGCATGCAGCGAAGGCTCCAGCAGCTTGCCACCCTCCACAGGCAGCCCAGCCATGCCTTACCAGCATCTGTTGGGCCATCTTCTTCCGCTCGGCCTGTAGCTGCTGGCCCCGGTCCTCCTCCTCCTCCAGGCGCGCCTCCATCTCGTGCAGGATCTCTTCCAGTTCCTGCTTCTTGGCTGCCAGCCGGACCCTCATCTCTTCAGCCTCTGCATACAGCTCAGTCTCTGCCTGCAGCTGCTCTTGCAGCAGGTTCTTCTCCTCGGCCAGCTGCTCAAGGTGGGGGTGGCGGGTGAGAGGGGCCCACATCCCAGCCTCGGTGGAGCACGCAGCCCTCCCCACAGCCCAGCCGCCGCCCGCCTGAGCGCACCTGCGTGTGCTTCTGCTCCAGCTCCTTGAGCTCACTCTCCGCCTTCATCTGCCGCTCCTTGGTCTTCTGCAGCTCATCCTCCTTGGCCTGCATCTCCTCCTCCTGCCGGGTCACCTGCAGCAGCGGCTTCACCTGTACACATAGACAGTGGATTTTTCTTTGTGGCCAGAGGGATATGTTCTATCATAGATCAAATCAGCAGTGCTAAGCTAGGGACACTTTCGCCCCCAACAGCCACCCAGGGCATTCTGGGCAACGTCCAGAGACACCGCTAGTTGTGACATGAGGGTGGATGATGCTATTGGCATCATTGGCAAATGTCCCAGCATGCATGAACAGGCGCCCACAACAGGATTATTGAGCCCACAATATTAACAGTGGCAAGGTTGAGGAACTGTTTCATCACTGTTTTTGCAGTGCTGGGGATGAAACGCTGGGCCTGAAGCATGCTGGGAAGATGCTGTAGCACTGAGCCACATCCCCAGCCTGAGGCATTCTTAATAGAGCAATAGAAAAAGTACAGAAAGGAAGGAGAAGGTCTCCTTTCCCCACCCTAGAACCATCCCGAGAGAGGACTACTGCTAGGAATGGTTATGAGTCCCTCCAAGGGGAAAGGTGGAAGAGCCCTTTTTCTGTCTCCTTGTCATTTGAAATCCCTTATAAGCTTTCTTCAAAAACAGACTTGAAGCCAGGCCTGGGGTCACACACCTGTAATCTCAGCCCTTTGAGAGGCCGAGGCGGGAGGATCACAAGTTTGAGTCCAGCCTGTTCAACTTAGCAACTAAGAATGGCCTGGGGATGTAGTTCAGTGTAAAAACCCTGCGTTTAATTCCAAGTACCAAAAAAAAAAAAAGACTTGAGATTATACTGCCTACTTTTATGTTCTTTTATTATTTAAAATCACAAGATAGTTTTTACCCCAGGCTGTTCATTCCTTCTACAATTTTTTGCTAGTCATCTTTTTTTTTTTTTTTTTTTTGGTACTGGGGATCGAACTCGGAACCTTGCGCTTTTGAGGCAGGCACAGGACCCACTGAGCTAAATCCCCGGCCCGTAGTCATCACTTTTTAATAGTTGAAAAATTTTTCATTGAGGAGTGAACTAATCTGCCAAGGATTGGGCATTGAAATGGTGCCACTGCCAATGAAGTCACAAGGAGCTCCTTTAATCCCTGATTTTCCTTATTTAAGATGATTTTCAGATGTTGCACCAACAGGAAGGAACATTTCCCAACAGCAATTCCTACTGTGGTTCTTCACCAGCTTGTCTTGGTCTTGTTTCTCTACCCCTGCCTGGCACAAGAGCCACTGCTGACATACACGGTGCCTTTCTTCATGTGCTTAGTATAGTCTGCCTTTTATTGTCTTGTCCCCCGGTTGGCTGGAATATTCATGAGGCCAGGGACCATGATGTCTGTTCATAGCTGTAGTCTCCAGCACCTGGCGTGTGCCTGGCACACAGTAGGCACTCAAATACCACGCACTCCATGAAAAAGGTTTGTGCCAATTTATATGCTCAAGGGCACACCAGGGGAAGTCCTGTCGCTGCAACTGAGCAAGTCATAAGGCCACCAGGAGGCTTCAGGATGCAGTCATGCCAAGGGCCCCTGACCCTCCCACAGTGAGAAAAGAACAAAGTATGGGTGATGCGGCATCCGAGGGCCCTGTGGGACGCACTGAGTGAAATGCTGTGGGACTCCATTATGTATTATTATTGTTGTTGTTGTCATTATTTTGGTGCTGGGGATCGAGCCCAGGGCCTCATGCATGCTAGCAAGCACTCTACCACTGAGCTACAAGCTTAGCCCCCAAAGGAACATGCTTAGAGTAATGAAATTACAGACATGAGATCAGGATAGTGGTTTCCAGGGGCTACAGAGGGAAGAGGGTATTGCTGCAGAAGGGCAACATGAACGATGCTTCCGGGGACGGAAGTGCCCTGGATCTGCATGAAGGTCAAGGCTAAAACCCACATGCCAAGGTGAGAGGGCCCACGCAGGCCAGGGAAGGTTTAGGTTCAAGCCCTCAGCTCCAGACCCACTTTGCACCACCCCTTGGCTCCCTTCTGGGGGTTCAAGTGGAGGCCAGGGATGGGAGGAGGGCTCCTGGCTTCTGGGGGGAACGGGCCAGGCACTCACCTTGGTGAAGAGCCGCCACCACTGCCAGTTGCGCAGCTTGAGGTAGGCGGCACAGTTCCTCTGAATCACCTTCATGGCCGTCAGCTGCTGCTGCCTCTTGGTGAAGGCCCTGGGGGGAGAGAGGATGGGAAGCCATGTACCTCCCCTTGTCCACAGCATCCTTCCCTGCAGTACCCCAGACTGCCCAAGGGTACCCCCTTCTCTCCAGCTCAGGTCCTTCTGAGCATCAGTGCATGCATATTGTCTGGGCATAGACCTGTTAAATAATCTGAGACCAAGAGCCTTTCTCAATGGGCAAGGAGACCCCAGCATGCCTTGGACTTGGCCAGCACCCCAACCAAACCTAGAGTACAAATCTATATGCCATCATTCCTGCAGGGATCCCTCAGGACCCCTGTGCCAGGTGAGTTTCTGACAAACCTGTTCTTTCCTTGGTTGTATTTTATAAATCCTAAACCTTGACACCAAATTGGTATCTTAAGGGTCATGGGACTTGAGAAACCACAGAATGGTGAAGAATTGCCCGTTACTTTGGAAGTGGGAAGGATGGCAGTGAAGAATTTAGTTATGAAACTTAGCAAGCTGGGACTGTTGATGGAGTCTCCCAAATCTGGTCTTGACCATCTTGGGTCCACTTGGCAATGAACAGCTTTGACCCTGGGGTTCTGTGGAGGAAGTGTGGTTTACACCCGGTGATAACACACGCTCCAGACAGGGAGCTGCTGAAGCTGCCCGTGCAGTCCTCTTCAGGGTGTGACTTGCATCAAAGAACCTGGGTCCTCGTCTAGTCCCCAAGATTCACAGAACAGAGCCATCATGGGTCATCTCGACTGCCAAGGGCCTGTTGGGTGAATCCCATTTAGCCATGGGGGATACAGATACAGTACAGCCCAAGGCTCTTTCCTCAAATCCTTTGTCCTATACTACCATTTCTGAGATGAGAATCAGCAACTGGTCTCAGCCCTCTCCATGAATCATTATTTCACCAACTCCTCATGAACAACTCCATGAGGTAGGAATGAATACGCTCATTTTCCAGTGGAGAAACCCGAGGCTCAGAGAGGTACTGTAACTTGCAGTAGGAAAGCTAGGATAAAACCCAGGTCTAAAACTCCAGAGCCTGTGGGCTTTACTTCCTCCATCGCTGTGCTCACGACTGGTGCATATGTACAAAGTGGAGGCACTTCTTTCTCCTCAACTAAAAGCTGTCGGTCAAGGACACGTCTTAAAACACATAGGTTCTAAGAATCAGGAAACTATAACATGGGGCCAGAAAGCTGGGACGTGGGGAACTATTTACTTTCTGGCCAGGTATCCACGACACATGGCCTGGAAAGCCATGATGACGTCAGTGATCTTCAAGTCTCGCTCCTCTTCCAGGTGAGCCAGGACCCCGGTGCGGAAGAAGATTTTGCTCTGTCCAATCCTGTACAAGTTGGGGTCGAGTTCCAAGGCTTTGATCTGCAGAGGAAAGAGGGGAGAGAAGAGTTCCCATTTGCAACTGGGCCACCTGGCGAACGGGGACACATGTCCAGGAACAGTCCCGCCCAGAGCAGCGAGTGTCAGGGTGACCTAAGGCCAAGAAGTGGGAGCCGGATTTCTGGGGAGAGACTTGGGCTGGGCTCACCATGAGGATGCAGGCCTGCTTCCCATCCATGAAGCCTTTGGGAATGGCATTCGCGGCCAGGATCTCGTAGCTTCAAACACAAGGCGGAAGTCACCAAGCACGGCCCCACCACCCTTCCCACCCGGCCCGTCACCCGCTGCCCCAGTGGGCTCACCGCTGGCGGAACTCTTGGAAGACAATCCTGTTGGGGAAGCCCTGGCGGCAGATGCGGATGCCCTCCAGCACGCCATTGCACCGCAACTGCTCCAGCACCAAGAAGGCATCCAGCTTGCCAGACTGCAGTGGCAGAAGAGGACGGTGACCGCTGGGCTGGGGCCCGGGGACAGCAAGCCCCAGGCCCACCTTGCCAGGCCACGGCCTTCTCAGAGGCACCAGGCTTGGCTTGGCTTGGCTTGGCTTGGCTTGGCCCGTGATCTCCCTTGTACTTGGTGGCACTAGTATCCCCTGGCTAGGAACTGTAGCTTCTCCCTCAGCACCCTGTCCATCACCCATTCCATACCTCCTACCTCCCAGATCTCTCCTACTCTGCCCGGATTTCCATTGCCACCGCTTCTACCATTGACAGACCCCCATCTGCCACCCAGACCACCATAGCAGCTTTGTACCCAGTCTTCTCCCTCCTGTCCTGCCTCCTCCTCTGGCCCCTCATCCCATCTAAAATACAAACCTGATCACGACTTATTCTGCTTAAACTCCCCCATGGGTCCCTACAACAGGAGGCCAAGGTCTGGTCAGCACACACGGAACTCCAGGATCCTGCACATGCAGCCGCACATCTTCCTGATCCCTGCCTCACACCTTTGCGTGCCAGTATGAAATGCTGGCCTACCTAGCATGTTCTTACCCAGATCCTTCACTTTCCACTCTACACTGTTGCTTATCCTGGGCCTCTGCTTCGGATGCCCTTTTCTCACACACTTCACCACATTGATGCCTACTTATTCTTCAAGTTCATGTTCTCTCCCAAGCTTGCTCTGAGCCCTGAGGCTGGGGCAGGAGCCCTGGATTTCTGGTGTTCTTGGAATTTATCATCATTTTTATTATCTCCCACTACCTCAGCACCACTGACATTGAGGACAGGTCGTTCTTCATGGTGGGAGGATGCTATGCATTGCAAGATGTTTAGCAACCTCCCTGGGCTCTACCCATCAGATGCTATATTAGTCCCTTTCCAGTTGTGACAACGAAAGCTATCTTCAGTTTTTCCAACAAGTATCCCAAGTACCTGGCACAAATAGCAGCTCAGTAAATATTTTCTGGACTAATGAAAGGACAAGTGGCTTGATGCCCTCAACAGTCCATAGCTGAATAATCTCTGGATATACTACCTTCTTCCCTTGCTTTCTTTCACCTCCAGGAACAGGAAGTAGGCCCCAAGTTCAGAAAACCTTCTGCCCATGGCAGATGGAGTCCTGGGGTGGGCAGTGGATGGGGCAGGGCAAAGTCGGCCTTCTCCTCCCACCCTGGTTGGTCTCAGGGCCTCCCAGGAGCCGGATAACATCTCTGGGGAACATCCTGACCATTCCGGGCAGCCCTGGGCCAGAAGCCTGGGAGCAGGGACCTCACCCTCTTCTCGTGGTTGGGGATGATGCACCGCACAAAGTTGGGGGTGGTGTTGCGCAGCGTGGTCATCAGCTTGCCCAGCTGCTCCTTGTACAGCTGCCCCACCGTGCGGAACATGCCCTTCTTAGTCTTGGAGGCACTGGGCATCGAGCTCTCGGTCATCTTGGCCATCTGGTCCAGCCCCACGATCCGGTCCACTGGGAGGCATAGCAAGGGCGGCCTCAGCCTCTCATCCACCCAGCAGCCCTCCACCCTTGCAGCAACCAGGGGACTCGGCTGAAGGGTGGCAGGCAAGGGTCTCCTGAGGGGAAATATGCTCTGGGGGACTCCAGGTACTCTTGGGGGCACCACCCCGATTTCTCCTTTGCTGACCAATGCTTTCGCCTCCAGCAGGAGTAGTGGGAGGCGTGGGGGGCGGGCTTCCAAATATTGTCGATGTGGGAAATCCAGAGTGCCTGAGTAACAGAGGACAAATCTCCCCTGCTCTTGTCACGCAGGCTTGGGAGCTAATCCTGTTCTTGCTCAGGATTCACTGAGTAGCCCTGCCCTGGGGCCGTAGCATATCTCAATGTTCCTTTCTACAAAATGGCAGCAGTAACAGTATCTACACCCTAGGGCAGGAAAAGCAAATAGGGTATGCAAAGTGTTCATCTCCCTGTCCACCTTCAGTCTACCTTCCACCCACAAATATTTATTGAGAACCTACTGTATATCCGGCCTTAGGGATACACTATGAACCCCACAAAAACCCTACCCACATAGCTTACATCCTGTGGCTATCTAATGGGAGGAAACAGACAAGATGGTGTAGGCATATAGTATTTCAGGTGTGAGGTGTGCTTAGAAGAATGAAGAAGGGGCCAGGTACGGTGGGTGGCACATGCCTATAAGCCCAGCACTCTGAGAGGCTGAGGAAGGATGATGACAGGTTTGAATCCAGCCTGGGCAACTTAGTGAATTAGTGAGACCCCATCTAAAAAAAAATTTTTTAAAATAAAAATTAAAGAAGGATAATGGGGCGAGATGGGGCTCATCCATTAGGCAGGGTGATGGGGGAGCTGTCTGTCTGATAAGCTGACATTTGAGCCGAGACCGGAATCAAGTGGGTGACCACACAGGTACCCAGCGTAAGAATGTTCTGAGCACAAGGCACAGCAAGAACTCAGAGGTGGGATCCCGGCTCATTAGTCAGTGCTCAACAAAGTGGGCATTGGTGGTATTTGTATTATTACACAGGTTCTTTTTCATCCAGAATGGAAAGACAGACTCCCACCAGCCCAGCAAGTGGTGCAGTGCGAAGCCCCGCCCCCTGGGCTTGGACTGCACCATTTCTGAACCTTGCATGCAGATTGTGTGCAATAATAACTCTTTGATTGATGGTCAGTCCCACGAGCCTGCAGGCTCCTGAGGAAAGGGCCCAGCCGGGCTCATCGGAAGACCCAGTGGGAGTTTACCCAGGTCAGATGCTGTGGATCAGGCCCAGGGCCTGGTGAGTGGTTGGCCTCCATCATTGCTGGCAGAGCTGGCCCCTCCCTGGGCCATGCCCTAAATAAGGGAGGCCAGTCCTTAAACTGCAGGCCCAACAGTGGCATGTGCCATGGGATCAAGGGCCAGAGGCAAAGCAACAGAGTCCTCAGCGTTGACAGTCACCCAGACTGTCTGCTCTCTGATTCTCAAAGGCAGCCAGAGAGAGATCCTCAGGCCAACAGCACCTGGGAACGCATGAGAAATGCAGCTTTCCAGGCCTGCCCTGCCCTACTGACTCAGTGCCTGGGGAGGAACCACACCGGGTTTAGCAGGGCATCCTGAAGCTAGTCAAATATGAGCACCACTGGTCTAATTTAAACCTCATGAACATCTCAGGTGAAAGGGGAACAGTTATGTTCTTCCCAGTTTACTAATGAGGACACTGAAACTAAACCAAGTCAAAGGACTGGTCTAAGACTCTGACTCAAGCTGACAAAACTGTCCCAACTCATGCTGCCTGGTACACTATTTCCTCCAGCTACTGCCTAGTCCTGACTGCTGGACCTTCTCGCTGGGGTCCAGGCATGGGGTGGAGGGGCTCAGCTGTCACACTGAGGAAGAGGGTGACAGTTTCAACATGACATCGCCAGCCCACGCCCACATGGCCCTCTCTCCACCCCCATGCACAGGGGCGATGGGGCAAGTGATTCCCAAATCGGGGAAGGGGATGAGGTGGAGAACCAAGGTGTTCAACCCTCAGTTGGGAGGGTCTCACCGTCTTTCCACAGGTCAGCCACAAACTTGTCTGAGGAGGCATTGAGGAGGGAGGTCACATTGTCATTCAGCGGGTCCATGTTCTTGGTCAGCCAGGCACTTGCATTGTAGTCCACCTGCCAAGAGCCACGCCATCAGTCAGATACCTCTGCTTCAGTCAGGGGCAGAGATCAAGTCCTCCCTGTCTTCTCCCAGGGCTTTTGAGGTCAGAGAGAAAGTTACATTTGTGGCCGCCATGATGGATCTCCACAAACACCAAGAAGAGACCAATAGATCAGTACAGGACTTCCAAGGACTGTGCGTAATAGGACACTAGCAGATGGCACCCACTGCCAGGAGGGCTGTGTGTTCCACACATGCGCCTGGCCACCCTCTCCTCTGCCATTCCCCTCTCCAGAGCCTGGCACGATGCCTGTGAGCTCAGAAAAGGCCAAAGAAGGGCCTAATGGTGGCAGGGCCCTCCCCAACCTCCGCCTCAGCCAGAAAAGGCTTGACAACAATCTTAGTTTTAAAATTAAGTGTGGGGTCTTCTTTCCCACACTCGATAAACATTATTTTTATAACTTGAAGATTTTGATCCATAAATGTACAGAAAAAGGATATTTAAGGCTTTGGAACATCCTGACTTGAACATTGACAGTAACCAAAGCCTACATTTGATTACTGTGAAATATGAAAGGGAAGAAACTGATAATGCAGGTCTCGTGGGTTATTATGGGACCTGGGTTGTTATAATAATGGCTAGGCCTGATCTGAGGAGAGACTGGAAAACACTTCTAAAGTTGGGAAAATGAAAGTATTATCTCTATATGATTAAAGGAATATGTACTCTCTTGAATATAAGGTGAGAGTTGGGAGACTCTTGGTAAACAGCCCAGAGGATCGATATTTTCAGTTTGGTGAGCCATCTGGTCTCTGTCAGTACTAAACTCTGCCCTTAAAAGCAGCCTCAGCATATAAGCATATAGGCACGGCTGTGTTCCAATAAAACTTTATTTACAAAAACAAGCTGTGGGCCAGATTTGGCCCTTGGGCTGTAGTTGGCTGGCCCCTGGTATAGGGCATTGTCTGTCCCCATGATTCAGAGGAGATATTGTTGGGGAGTCAATAAAATAATTCTGCCGGCTGGACAAAACCATGTCTTTTCTATACTATGTAGGACACTTGGGTGCCACAGGTCAAAATCCTCTACACTAAAAACTAAGACATAATGATGATAACAGTGACAAAGGTGACAGCTATCACGAGTTTCCCCAGATGGAGCAGGCTGGCAATGGCAGGGAGATTTCTCTTAAATCCAAGAGTAGATCTGTTGGTCACCTGGTTCCTGCTGGACCTTCCTGTTGGGTTTAACTTTGTAGTGAGAGGATTTAGAGTCTATCCAAGAGAGAACAGCCTGGCCGCCAATGCTGAAATCTATGAGAGAGGCTAAAACTCAGTTGATGCTTAGACACATACAGGACTTGGTTAAGGTCTGATTTGCTGCATGACTTTGGGATTCCTAGTCCCATGGCTTTTGTTCCTGTGTTAGTCCCACTCTGCCCATCCACCTGGGCTCCCCTGGGACAGAGCCTGCCCTGGGCCCACCAGCTGGTACCTTCCCCGCATAGTGGATGATGGAGAACTCAGTCTTGTCCTTGAGCTGCTTGGGCTTCTGGAACTTGGGGTGGTTGCCCTGCTCTGAGCACAGTTTTTCCACAAAAGACTTGTCGGTGGCTTTGGGGAACCAGCACTCCTCGTCCAGCAGGGCCAGCACACCAGGAGGGTTGTTCTGTGGAAGACACGGAGGCAGGGTCCCAGTGTGAGCAGAGGTCCTCCAGGCTTCTGGCTCACCAGGAAGATTGCCAGCTAAACACAGTGCACAGGCAGCCCCAGGCTGCTACCAGTGACCTACATCTAAGATGGACTGTTGATTCCATTACCTCAACTCCCAGAATCTATCCTCAAAGTACCCTAAGCCCAATGAGTAGAATGGGGCAGAGAAAGCTGACACCAACCAACCACAAAACACAATGTGCACTGCCGCCCCCTAGTGGGCAACACGCACCATCACAAGATTGCAAATCTTGGCAGAATTTGCTTTGCTTGCTTATAAATTCACCCATGATTTCTTTCAGTAAAGCATTTCCTTGTGGCTGGGAGGATCTAAATTAAGGTGGCAAGATCACTAAGTTTTCCCATGCCATTCGCCCTGATGTAATGGTCTTCCTTTTTGGACTCAGCCTGAGACTTTCCTGGCTGCTCCATCCAAAGCTGGCCTTCCCAAGTCACTTTCCTTGGTGCCCTTATCAGGAGTTTTTTTTAACTTGCATTCTTTGTCTGATTTCACAGCCTGTTCCTCCAGGAGGGAAGAGCTCATGTCTGTCTCATTCACAGTTATATCCCCAGTCCCTAAAGAAGGAGCCCAGCCCATAGTAGATGCTCAGCAAATATTCACTCAACCAGCTAGGTTGGAGGTGCATGATTGTAATTCTATCACCCTGGGGGGCTGAGGCAGGAGGATTGCAAGTCTGAACCCAGCTGGGCAACGTAGCAACTTAGCAAGACCTTTGGGTTACTGCAAGTGTGAATTAGCTCAGAGTCAGTTCGCAGCCCTTCAGGCCCGGGTGATTTTAAACCAAACACGCGGAGAAGGCGGCTCCGCGCATGCGCACTAGCGTGCCCACGCCCCCTGCAGTACAGTCCCTCACCGGGCGCTCGATGAGCTCGATGCAGGGCTGCAGGTCGAGGCCGAAGTCGATGAAGTTCCACTCGATGCCCTCGCGCTGGTACTCCTCCTGCTCCAGGATGAACATGGTGTGGTTGAACAGCTGCTGCAGCTTCTCATTGGTGTAGTTGATGCACAGCTGCTCGAAGGAGTTCACCTGCACACGCGACACGGGCGGGGTGAGCACCCGGGTCAGAGCTGCCTGGGGAGGCCCAGCAAGGTCCTGGCCGGAGTGACACAGGCCACTCCTGCCTCACTCAGAGCTCTCTGGACTGAAATTCTGCTGTAGACATCTCTCGTGATTTTCTCTGACACTTTTTGCAAGTGTGGGAGTTGGATGTAGTAACCATAGTTACACTCCATGAAATACTGCAAGACCTTGAAAACGGTACTTGGCGAGGAAGTGACCAAGGAATTAGGAATCAGGGAGACTCCTAATCCAAGGTGTCCTTTTTCTGCCAGCGTTGCTGAGAGACTGTCTGGAGCTGTGGCAAGCATTTTGCCACCACGAGGGGGCAGCCACTTGAGTACGGAACCAAAATGGGAAGGCAGAGGAGAGGCGACAGACTGGGCCCTGTCGCTAGGATCCAGCAGTACCCCTGACTGTCTCAGTTACACACTCAGTGCATTCCCTATTGGATTTTTGTCTCTTACACGCTCAAGTTTCCAACCTTCGCTAGATGGCTTCCTACTCTAAAGTGGCCAACTGCATGCTTTTCTCCAAAAATAATGATTTCTCTAAGGGGACACCTCATCCCAGAGGACACCTCATCCCAAGATTGTAGCTGTCACGATCCCACCAAGCTATACCTCAAAGATCTCAAATCCAGCAATATCCAGGATGCCCAGGAAGGAAGCCCCTTGCCGATGGGTCTTGTCCAAGGCTTTGTTGACTCGACTGAGTATCCAGCGGAAAAGGCGTTCATAGGTGGCCTTGGCCAAAGCCTCTATAGCAAAGTCAGCCTGCAGTGGTAGCAAGGGGACATGGTTATTCCCAGTGAGCTGCACTGGCGCATAAGCCAGGCTGGAGATTTGGATTTTTATTCTCCCCCCATCTTTAATCATTCCTTGAAAAATAGATCACCTGTACAACCAGCAGATAAGAAGCAGTAGAAGTGGTCAGACCCAAAGAATGATTGTGTGGATAATGAGATATCCCTAGGCAAGGGGATCCTGGAAGCTGTTCCATCCCAGGATCATTTAGGGGCAGTCAGTCATTTCCACAGATAAATCTCTAAGGACAGACCTGGTACCTACAACTAAGACATCAAGGTGAGGTCATAAGTGAGGGACTCTGCGGTTCTTGTTTAGCAGTGTGTCCTCAAAACCTGACATAGGACTTAGAATATTCTAGTACTGGGTGGATGAGAGATAAAGAGAAAATGGATGAATAAATGGGTGGGAGAGCAGATAGGTGGATGAGTGGATGGATGACTCCATGGCTAGGTAGAGGGATGGATGGACAGATGGATGGATGGACGAGTGTGTGGATGGTTGCATGGGTGAAGAGATGGGTAAAGGGGTGGATAATATTGGATAGATGTTGGATGTGCATAGATGGATGGATAAGTGGGTGGGTACATGAGGGGATGATGATGGATGGGTTGATGGACTGATGGGTGGTTAGGTGGGGGATGGTTAGATGGGTGGATGGATGCATGGATGGATGATGAAATATTCTGCAAGAATACGTGGCAAAAGCATCATTACCTGTTCCTTTGTCTGAGCTTTCTGTACCACATCCCGTCCAACTTTGATACGTGGAGTCAGGATGGCTCTGGTAAAATCTGTCACATTAATTCCCACAAGGTGGCAAACTTTCTGAGCAGCTGGAGGAGAGAGGAAACATCTTGAGTGCATCACGAAAGAGAAAGCCCAGAAGGATGGCACCTTACCCCACTGACATGTGTGATCTGTTCACCCATGGGCTGCTCTTGGAGAAGGGAAGCCTAGGGTGGTGAACCCAGCCCTAGTGAGTCTTAAAGATCACAGTCACTGGTGATCTCACCCTTAGTGTTTTGCTAAGAGACAATGCCCAGGTGGGTGGAAGTATGTCTCAGTGTGGGGCTCCCTTCCCACCTCTAAATCATGTGACTGTAGCCAAGCTATTTAACATCCTGAGGTCTTGTTTTCCTTAGCTTTATCAGGGTCAGCAACTGGGTACCTTGTTGGGTCATCAACAGGATTAGGTGAGGGAAGGTATACAGAGGGCAGGATGTAGTCATAATTCAGTAAATGTTTGCTCCGTTGTTCTAGGACATGAGTCTCAGCATTGTTTGTGTGGGCAGGTGTGGAAATTGAATGAAACAGAGTACCAAGCAGTTACAAGGAACTGCCTCTCTTTCTGTGCACTGCTGCTCTCAGCTGGGGATGATTATGTCCCCAGAGGACACTTGGCCATGTCTGGGGACATTTTTTGTCACAATGGGAGTGGGTGTATTTGAGACATGACCTAGACATGGATGAGTATTGAGGAAAACACACAAGGTGCTGATTTGTGCAAACTGCAAGCCCATCTACATTGCTCAGATACACACCTGTGATCGTGTAAAAGTGGAAAAAGGGGACAGAATAAAACACGGTTTTGGTTGCTGGCTGGTGCACATACAGGCAAGAGAATGTGACCCAGCTGAGAGACCATGGGGGCAGCAAAGTTACCTACTCTGTCACATTTTCCTTTTAAAGACAAATAGCCCTCACCCTAAATTTATTCCCAAACATCAACTCTGGACAAAGGACATATGGGTTGTAATAATAATGTGTGTGTTTCTGCACATGAGGGTTATTGGTGTTGCACTTCAACAGGGGACAAGAAAGTGAGTTTATATTGTTTTTCCCACCACTCTGCAAGGGTGTTTGCTTCTCTCTCCCTGAAGGTCTCTCCTGGGAGTTAGCCATTACTTTCCGTATTTGGGGAGTGTAATACACAAGATGGCCTAATGGGGGCGCCCGAGGGCTCAGCAAAGCAGCACAACGCATCACGCGGATGGGTGGCTCGATGAGCAAGAGCCAGCAAACTGGAAACTTGCAGGGGCCAGGTGGCCGTCTCAAAACACAAAATACTACTGTTTTGCAGGTAGGTTGCTAGATGGGGGGGGGTCTAATTAAGTGTAAATTTCAGATAACACTTTTTTAGTATAATTTTAACCCAAATATGCCATAGGACACATTTGTAAGAAAAAATATCTGTTGCTTATCTGAAATTCACACTTAACCAGAGCTCCTGCATGTTACTGGAACCCCTCACTCGAGGGAAACTTGACATAAGACCATATGAGCCATAAGAAGGGCTAGTCCTGGCGGGCACACCTGTAACCCTGGAACTCTGGGAGGCTGAGGTAGGAGGATCACAAGTTCAAGCCCAGTCTCGGCAATTTAGCAAAACTCTGTCTCCAAATTTTAAAAAAAGGATTGGGGATGTAGCTCAGTGCTAAGGCCTTAGGTTTAATATCTAGTATTGGAAAATGGCAAAAAAAATTAAAGGACTAGTCCTGTCTCACTTCCCACTGTAGCCAATGCCGGGTGTACAGTAAGTGCTGAAGAAACATTCGTATGAGCCAGTTGTAGTGATGCGTGCCTGTACTCCCAGCACTCTACGACCGTCAGGCAGGAGGACCCCAAGTCCAAGCCTAGCCCGGGCAACTAAATCGCTTAGTAAGATGCTGTGTAAAATTAAAAATTAAAAAAGAGCAAGGGATATAGCTCAATCTGAAGGCCTGGGGTTCAGCCCCTAATATTAGGAGCAGAGGGACACAGATTTGTTTAACAAGCAAATGTGTGGAGGGTTTCAGAAGAGACGAACCCTAACGGTGGTGGCGAGCCTATGGCATGTGTGCCGCAGTGGGCTGTCTGTATCACTGGAAGCTCTAACAGGTTCACCGACATGGGACCCTCAGGATCTGTCTACCCTAAAACACTGACTCAAGAACTTTCAGGGCCCGGGATTTAGCTTGCTGTCGCGGCTTGGAAGTGCAAGGTCCTGAGTTTGACCCCCCAGTACCAAAAAAAAAAAAGGAAAAAAACCCTTTCAGTAGTGAAAAGTTTGAAAAAAGAGCAAAGTCAGTGATGATAACCTAGTCTAGCTATTAGTATCCCAGACACCCTCACCCAGAAATGCACGAGCCCCTGATCCATGGGGCGTGTGTGCCTGGACCCCCCAGTGAATGCCTGAAGTCGTGGATGGTTCCAAACCCTGCATACATTGCTTTTCCTACACAGACACCTATGGTAAAGTTTAACTATAAATTAGGCCCAGTAAGAGGATAACAACAGTAACTTATGATTAATTGACAATTATAACAATACATTGCAGTACAAGTTACATGAATGCAGCCTTTTGCTTGCAAGCTATCTTCTTATATTGTACTGTAATTTTGGACCACAGTTGACCACAGGTAACTGAATCTTCAGAAAGCAAAACCGTGGATAAGGGAGATAACATTTCGCTAAAACCATCAGGTATCAGGAACAGGTGGCAGGTACCTGTGTTATCTGGCATGGATGCCTGATCTGTGTTTCTTTCTTTCTTGAAGACGATATTTCCCAGCTGGAGGACGGAGGACACCACTTTCAGTATGGCTGAGGTGGGGAGAGAAAAGCAGACCAACAGGGTCAATATTGCCTATCACTGTTTGCCTGCTACGGTGGCCAAGGGGAAAAGTTGTGTCGGGCATTATATGACCTAGAAAGGCAGCTTCACAGGGAATGTTAGTCAATTCTGCTACAAAGCAACAAGAATGAATGACTTACAACTGTGGAGAAAAAACTGACACCTCATAGACACGAATACCAAACAAAAGGTGTATTCCATTTCTAAAATTCACTGAACTCTTCACTTGGGACATACTCAGTTTTCTAAAGGTACATCCTATGTCAATAAAGATTTAAAAACCCCTGTGCTTCTTCACATATGTATCTTAACATATGCCACCGGATATACAAGACACTCATGTTAGGATGAAGGAGGCGGAGATTTCTTTCCCACTTGTCCGGGTGGCTCCACCCAAATACACTGTGTTCCCAGGATACTTGGAACCTCCACACTCAGCCCGTGTTCCCATGATTGTGGATTCTGTATCAGATATCCTTACAAGGTTTTGGAGAATAAGGGGGACCTGCCCTAACCATCTTGGAATTCTCACAGCCTAGTCCAGGGTCCAGACAAATGTGAGCACAGGAAGGAGCACTGATGAATGAATGGACGGGCAGAGGAGAGACAGAAGGTTGGGCAGGTGCAGATGGGTGACCGATGGCTACCAATGCTTGGCATAGATGAAAGCAGAGATGAATCGGCCGGGGTTCTGGTCTACAGGAAGTCACTGTGTCCAGGAACAAGCCCTAGAGTCCCAGCCTTCTCTGGTTTCCCCGGGCCAGCCAGGGGCCCAGGCCCAGCTCAGCAGGACGGTGCCCCAGCTGAGGGCCCCACACCCTCTCTCCATTGAAAGCGAAGGAAGCTGCTGGTGACAGAACATTGCTAAGGCGATTTCACCCCACCTGGGCGGGGGGCTTTGCAAGCTATCGGGTGCTGTATTGTGGTTTTTAAAGTTCAGATCTAACCTAGGGATTGCTGAAAGGCCCACCGAGCCCAGGGGAGAAGCCTAACCCGGGTTTCTTTATCTTGGCATTATTGAAATTTATGGCCAGAACATGCTTTCTTCTTGGGGTCAGGGATTTAGCTCAGTGGTTTCGTCGCCTGCTGCGCAAGCGCAAGAACCCGAGTTCGATCTCCGGTACAAAAAAACAAAAAGAACATGCTGTGCACCACAGTAACATGTTTAGAGCCATCCCTGTCTCTCACCACTAGGTGGCAATGGTGTTCCCCTTCCAGAGTTCTGACAACCAAAAAAGTCTCCACTGATTTAAATGGCCAGAACAGACTCATGGGGACTCGGGGACTCAAAGGGGCCACAGCTGCACCGGAACGGGCTGTGATTCCTCTCTTGTTTCTGGTTTTTCCAAAGGTGATGCAGATGCAGAGTTTTATATGAGATCTACCCATGTTTAAACACTGAGGATCAATTTTAAACAGTTTGGGAGGCTGTGGTGGCCAAATTTTCTCTCCTGCTGGAGGAGGCGCCATGCCCTTTGCTTTCTGGCATAGTTAATGTCATCACGGAAATGGCCTAAGAATGGTGACCACAAGCAGGTCACAGAGATGAACGAACGCAAAGAGTTCATGGACGGCAAAGTGCCTAACTAGAAAGGGCCGCAGGAGCAGCAAGGGTGGCACTGGTCAGGGCTAGAAGCGTGCACTCGGGATGAGACAGTCCTGGGCTTAAAGCCCACCATGGCCCTGCCGAGCTTCAGCTTCCCCACCTGCAAATGGAGACGGTAAGACCACAGTTACTCCGTGAAGTTTACATCAGGAGAGATGAGGCAGCAAGGGGCATGGCCTAATAGGCACTAAATAATGCCAGCCACCTGTAGTGGGCAGAACAGGGGTCCCCAAAGACATGTCCACCTGGAACCTTGGGAGACCTTATTTGGGGAGAGCCTTTCTCCATGTAATCAGGTGAAGGCTGTCAAGATTAGATCATCTCACATTACCCAGAGGGCCCTGTGCAAGTATCCTTAGACAGAAGAGGAAACTCACAGCAGGGTAGGCTATGTGACAAGGGGGCAGAGATCAGAATGCTACAGCCATAAGCCAAGGAGCATGGAGGGGGCTTGGCAGGACAGAGGCAGGGCCAGGAGCCTCTCAAGGGCACTGGGCTACCCCACACCCCGACCTCAGGCCTCAGGCTGCAGAACCGACAGAGAATACATTCCTGATGTTTTAAGCCACCAAGTTTGCAGTCATGAATCACAGTGGCCTTAGGAAACAAATCCACCTATTGCTGAGGAACAGGAAATAGGGTTTTGCAGCATGGACATAGACCCTGGGAGGTATAGGACTGGTGTGAACAACTTTTAAAAAATCTTAATAGCCAGGTATTTATTCTAACTTATTAGAATCAATTTAACCAGAGGATAAAATTAGTGCTTTTATAGCAATCGTTTAAGACAGAGGCCAGAGTGAATAGGGCTATAGAAATCTACCCTGCACATAAAAATATTCAGCCAACAATGATATGGATGGAACCTGGGAGAGGTGTCCATTGAATGACCCATGTCTGGAACATGAATCTCAACAGCCTGGCCCCGTCCTGGGCAGCTGTGTGACCTCAGGTGGGGCATGAGCCTCTCTGGGCTTCTGCTTCACCATCTGAAGACCCATAAATGTACCCACCCCACAGGATTGTCCCAAGGACGTACCTAAACCAGGCAGTGTCAATAAACAGCCACTGGCCCTGTCATCGTTATGTCTGTCCTGAGCCTTGGCCTCTGCATGGCCTGGCGAGTTCCTTTCCTCTGCTCAGAAGTCTCCAAGGTCCCCTGGGCTTTGGTGGCTCTTCCTCTGTGAGAGCAGAACTTGGTGGGGCAGGGAGAATCCTGGTCCCCTGGGATGGGTAACCAGGGTCGGCATGCACAGTGGCCTGAGGCTGTCCCCAGGCACTGATCTCTGTGTCTGAATGTCACTTCTATCTGAGTACTGTGTGCCCCATTCTTTACTTTTTCATTTAAATTCACCTACTTCTGGCTCCTTACATTTATTTATTAGGAAACTTGATATGAAGGGAGACGTCAGCTTTACTTGCCCAAAATAGAGATAGTTATACAGTAAACACTGGGAAAACAAACAAGAAATTCTAGGCCAATGCTTGGCCATGCCTGAACTCCTGGGCCTGGGACCTGTTCTCCGTGGTCTGAAGGGAGATTAGCAAGTGTCAGAGAGAAGCTGAAGACCTGCAAGTACCGGACACCACATTCTCTTTGAAATTCATCCAAAGAATGACAAAGGAGATGAAAAGGAAGACTTGTCTCGGGGTGGGATTTGACATCTTCTCCTGCTCAGCAACGGGAGCTGTGCTTACAACACGTTTCCTTCCAGCCTGGGTTTCTGCCTGGCCCTGACACGGTTATAAAGGTTTTTTCAGTACCTTTCTGTACCAGTTGTGATTACAGGCACATGCCTGTAATCCAGTACTCAGGAGGCTGAGGCAGGAGAATCGTGAGTTCAAGATAAGCCTGGACTATACAGTAAGACCCAATCTCAAAACAAAACAATAAAAACAATAAAAACAAACAAACAAAATCTCCCTTCCCACAGACAAAAGCAGGGGGTTGGGAGGCCCAGTGACCCAAGAATGAGCTCCAGATCCAGCAGCAACTCTCTGTGTGTCCCTGGGTAAATGCCCTCACTTCTCTGTGCCTCCATTTCCTCATGTACAGACTGAGAATAGCAACAGTGACCTCCCAGCAGTGCTGAGGGTAAATGAAGCACATAAAGCATGTAGCTTTACTTGTCAGCTGACACCTCCACTTTAAATATATTTTAAGCATTTCCAATGCTTTTCCAAAAACATTTTACAACAATTTAAATGGCCCCAATTGTTTTCACAAGGACAGTAATTTAATCCTTTCTCAATCAACATTTTAGTTTATTCTAGTTTTTGATAATTTACATAAAACTGTACTGAACATCCTGGTGCCTTAAGTGTGAAAAGGACTTAGCAAATGCTTGGCACATAAGAGTACTTAAACATTACTTGTTTTGTTTTTGGTACCGGGGACCGAACTCAGGTCCTTGCACTTGCAAGGCAGGTGGCGGAACCACTGAGCTAAATCCCCAGCCCATTACTTGCATTTTTTTAAAACCAAGATGAGAAGAAGCAAAGCTAACCCATGTCCCAGGTGAAATGCATCATCCTTGGGGAGTCCAGCCACTGGAGTCTGCACGCAGGACCCTGGCCCAAAGCCACGGGTGCCACCCACCCATCAGCTGACCCACAGAGCCTTCTGCTCTGGGTCCCAGATCATCGCCCAGGAGCAGCGCTCTCCCCACCGAATTTCAGCAGTGAGTGATGCCCCAGGGCTGAGGAGGGCCGTGAGAAGAGAGGGAAACTTTCCACTATCTTGCCCTTTGCTCTGAAAGAGATTAACCCTGACCGCTGGGGCACATCCGACGCAGGACGGAAAGTGTTTCCGGCAAGGCGGCATCACCCCCTCTGGCTCCCAGGGTCCTTCCTAGAGCTCTCTACCCCTCCCCGAGCTTCCCACACCCGGTTAGCATGAGTAGCTCAGGACCCCACAGCTGCAACCGGGGAGGCTCCATCTCAGACCCCAGCAGGAAATCCACTCTGCTTTTTGGGCAGAGACCCACAGGATGCACAGAGTGGGATATAGCCATGCAGCTATCCCAAAGCTGCAGCCCATGTAGAGACCCGGTAGTGGGAGGGACAGAGGACAAGAAAGCAGAGCCCAAAGAAATCTGAGCTCCTAGATCCTGCTGCAACGGAATGGTGAAGTTTTCTACATTTTTTTAATTTTTTTTTTTTTTTTGGTACCGGGGATCGAACTCGGGTCCTTGCGCTTGGGCAGCAGGCGGAGAAACCACTGAGCTAAATCCCTGGTAACTTTTCTACATTTTGAGTGAGTCATTCTCCTTGCCTGAGCCAGGCTGGGACACTGGCAACTGAAAAAGCCCTAACTTGGCCACTTTTCTAGAAAGTTAATAAGCTGCCCACAGTAGAATCGGTTTTCTCTCTACTTTTCCTTTCAGGAAACAGGGGATCCAGAGCAGAGATCTGTCCGACCCCAGGACAGCCCCCATGGATTCCAGCTCACTGCAAACAGGAACCAGTCTCCCAGGCTGCGTGAAACCTACCCAGCTGCTCCTCCTCACTGAAGCCCATGATAGACATGGCCTCCAGCGTCTCCTGGAACATCTCGTCGTCCTGAGCAGCTGGGATGGGCACAAAGCCGTTGGAGAGAAATGTGTAGTTGTTGAAGCCTTCCAGAAGCAGGTCATCTAGGAGAGGAAGCGAGGGAAGAGTCAACAAGATGCATTTCTGCTTCCCGTATGAGACAGGAATTGATTGGGCCAATATCATTAGTTCCCTTTCTCACAGCTTAGACAGATTAAAGCCCTTCTCTTACAACAACTAATTGTTGGCCTCGCTGGCCATCGCCGGCCCCAAACAGTGGTGCAGGGTGTGCACTGCTCCAGGGTACCTGGTAGGTAAAATCCAACCTTACCTCTGCTTGTAAGCTACACTCTGTGATGCAGGGTCACATCTACCCAGCGGAAGGGATGCCTTTAGCTTTACTTTCCCAAGGCCTCAGCTTCAGGAACAAAACTGTCTGGAGAGTTAGTTTATTCCTTATTATTAAATGGATACTTGTCATATTTTTATCCAAAATCATATATACACATGAATTAAAAGAATTACCACCAAAAGGTTTATAATAAAGAACTGCCACTTCCAGCCATAGTCCTTCTGCAATTACTACCTTTGTCTATAATAACTGCCTTTTCTCTTTTAGCTCTTTCTTTTGGTAGTTACCACTATTTTTATATACAATGGGTTTACTATATGTAATAATTTATATACAATAGTGCTATACATATGTAATGTACTATACTATAATATGTAATATACAAATACATACAAATATACATACAAATAGTACGTTATAATACATACACCATTACATATAATAGGCTATAACTGAGTGTGTCAAATTTAGGCATTATTCATGGACTTATTATTGTAGATGAAGATTTAGCTCTTGACAACCTTCCCTTTCTTCAAATTATTTCCAGTTAATTCAATTGTTAAGTCTTATAACCTTGGTTAGCAAATTGGCCCACTGGTTGTTTTTGTCAATAAAGTTTTATTGAGACACAGCCTCCTCCATTTCCAGGTCTGCTTTCACATTTTAATGGCTGAGTTGAATAGTTGCAATGGATACCACAGGGTTCTCGAAGCCTAAAATGTTTATTCTCTGACCCTTTAGCAAAAAAATCAGCCAACTCATTGTTTATAGTGTTACATCTATTAAAACTTGTGCTCTGTAAAGTCATATTCTGTAGTTACACCCACTTTGTTGTAGTTTAGTACTTTTCCCCAAAAACATTTAAAATTACTTTTCTCTCCTATCCTACTTGCACTCATTACACCTCCGATACATTGAATTTCCTCTTCCAGCCATCTTTAATTAGGCTGGATTTAAAACACTCTTGGAGAGACATCAATAGACAGTTTTCTTTTTTAAACTAAGTCTTTTATGGGTTAAGTCACTTGGAAGCTACTTGGCAAAGTTGAGATTAAATTGACCAAAGACACATGATAACTCCAGCTTTTGGGTTAAATGAAATGCATGAGTCAAGTCACAGGATTTGGGTCTTTACCAAGACTCCTCTATCCACAATAAGGATAATTTTAAAATATTATATTCTAAGAACCCAGCCCCTTCCCAGCTCTATCACGAAGAATACCATGGCCCCAGGAATTTTAGCCATTGGCCCTTATCCTTGTCCAATTTCTAGAAGACCACAGGCAGAGTACAAAACTGGAACCCAAGTCAGGAGACAACCAAACTGCTGAGTTTGGTGCCAAATAGAGGCAGAAGGGACATAAGCATTTGCCCTCAGCTACCCCCTGGTGGCCCACATTGTAACAGCCAATTTACCATATTTATATGCATTCAGCACCCCTCATTATCCAAGATTGCTCCACCTCATATTTGATGTTCCAGAAAGCCAAGCATCAAGATTTAAATAAAAACACCACCCCCTAGCGGCAGGGCTCTGCAACAACTCCACCGCCCCAAAGATGTGAGGTCACATATCCTTTTGATAGTTTTCTTATTCAAGAAAAGTTTTGTGGGCCACAAAACTGACAAGAAGCAAAGTATGTATTGTTCTCATACATTTTTAGACTTAAATTTATTACCAGAAGACATATCTATCTTGACCAAGGCATCACATTTTTCAGCTATGTGTTTTGCATATTCTTTTAAGAGATTACTGTACTACATGACTGGAACCTATAATTCCCTACTGGAACTATATTTCACTTATATGAAATATATATTTCATTTAGAGATCAACAAACCCCAGCACACTGGTTGCTTCAGTGAAGGAAGTTGTACTGTGGCACAGCCACACCCAAGATGGCCGCCTTCGTAGGACAATGGTGGACTTCGGCAGTTGTGACAGAAACTGAAAGATCTGGGTTTGTTGGGCTGGGGTGTGGCTCAGCTGAAGAGCCCTTGCCCAGCCTGAGCCAGGCCCTGGCAGCACCATAAAAAAGAAAAAGTTTGTTGGCCTCTGACTTACAAAGGACACTTTAAAGTCACTTTCAAGACACTTGCCATGAAAAATCCTTAATTCCACTAATCCTTCAAATTCCTTATAAAATCAAAATGCATCTTATTTACTTGCAAGTCTAACTGACAAACACAACAACTGTTTTTCGGCCTTCCTCCAAGGCAAAGGGACTTGATTAACGATCTAATGTTTAATTGGGGTTGATGTCTGCTATGTCACACAGTAGGTGCTCAGTAAATGAGGACAAATGAACAAAGGTGACACGCACCAGAAAGAGGTGAGGATCATGCACCTGCCACCACAGGCCTGTCTTAGTGCCCAGTTGCCTACCCTAGCCCTGGTGGAAGAACAGACGCAGCCCCCCAGCCCCCAGCCAAGGTTGTGGCTAGTCACTCACTTTTCATCTTCTCCTTGGCTCCTGCAATCAGATAGTAAAATATGTGGAACGTCCTCTCCTCCCTGGCTTGGCGAATTGCCCGAGACTTCTCCAGCAGATCTGGTTTGGAAGGAGTTAAGGAGATACGGCCAGTGTTCACCTCGCAGAAACCTAACCTCTCCCTCTGGCTCTGTGTGTAAGCTGCTGAAGAAGCCACGTCCAGCACCCAGGGGAGGCGCCCTGGGGAGTCCTGTAGAGTTTAGAGCTGGGCAGGGTTTGCTACCATGCCCGATTCATACACGGTGACCATCCAGTTAGCTGTGTTCCAGGGATCAGAGGCTTTGAACCTTGGCGATGACCCCCATGGACAGACGGGATCACTGTGCTGCTGTCAGATGCCAGGCCCAGAAAGAAGGGGAGCAGAATGAAAGGGAAAACCATAGAAAGCTGGGAAGAAAATGCCCCCAGGAGGAAGGGCTACAGAGGGGGCCGGGAAGGAGATGTTTCTTCAGTGACTGTCAGGACCCTGCTTCTGGAATGGGCTGCCTTGAAACAGGAGAGAAAATAAGGACACCCTCTCTGACCGGCACATCTTGGAGCTCAGTGCTCTGTACGCATCATCTCAGGTAAGTTCCACCAACTGTGCTAGGAAAGAAATGCAAGGATCAGCTGCATTTTCAATACAGGGAAACTGAGGCTCTGGAGCAGACACCCCTGCTCAGTACTAGCAGGCTATGCGTGGCACCTGACTCTTGCTGTCGGTAATTCGGCTCTATTGTTTTAGATCAGGAGTCAGACCGCAGCTCTTCCTGACTCAGATGGGCATGAGAGATGGTGGACTGGGTGAGTACACCTCCTCCCTCAATGACTGCCACAGAAACCTAGGCCCTGGTCTGTGAAGTGGCAGGGCTCTGCTGAGTTACATGCACCTGAGGTCCGCTTGACCCCATTAAAATCCTTTCCCCTGAATTATGGCTTCTTACCGACCCGATGGGTTGCTTCCTAATTGCACCCAGACCCAGTATTGGTTTGTTCTATCCAAGCAAGATAAACAGTGCTTACTCTCTAATAGCCCTGTCTGGTGCCATCATGCCAGGTGACCACAGAATTTCACTAGATCCCTTCAAAGCATACCTGGGTCCCTATCCCTTTCCACGATTGTATTAAAAAAACACTGGATGTGTTTGGGGGCTTTGTATTTGCTGCCATCAGCAGCACTGACCAGGACCCAAGACCCAGCTTCTCCACTCTAAGTCTCGTTTCTGTCTGTTCTTGAATTTGCCTTGTGCTGGGTGGCTTACAGGCCAGGACCCAAGACCCAGCTTCTCCACGCTAAGTCTCGTTTCTGTCTGTTCTTGAATTTGCCTTGTGCTGTGGTGGCTCACAGGAGGCCAGGACCCAAGACCCAGCTTCTCCACGCTAAGTCTCGTTTCTGTCTGTTCTTGAATTTGCCTTGTGCTGTGGTGGCTCACAGGACACCACCACGGCAGAGGTCCTGGTAACATCCTCTTCCTATTCCGTACAAGGCTCAGAGATGCAAAATCATTTCTTAAGACCGCACAGACAGGAAGTACTTAGCAAAGCCTCCTCCGTGCTCCCTGTTCCAAAACAGGGAGGAGAAAGACACTAAAAACATCCCACTAATCAACCTCAGGGGAGCTGGTGGGCAGGCTGGGCAGCCCTGGATCATCTCTGTGGGCAAAAGCACCTGGTCTCCAAAGGCACCTAAGCAGGGAGGGGGAAATAGAGGCTCAGGGAGGTTCAATGATTTGGCCAAGCCCACAGCTAACAGGCCCAAGCTGAGAACCAGACCTGGACCTGACTCATTCTGTAATCTACCGTCCACTCCAGGCACCAAATGGAGCTGGAACACAGCCTGGCCCCATCACTGCTCCTCAAACTGCTGTGAAGCCAGCGCCTGTGAGCTCGAGGGCTGCCTGCAGTGCTCAGAGGTTAATAAACCCTAAGCCCAGACCCGCTCCCCAGGTCTGGATCTCTCTCCCTGGACTCCTCTTCACCAGGCAGATTCTGGAAACAGATGCCTGATGGGAAAATTCCTTTTCCACCGTTTCACAGGCCACCTCTCTAAGGACAAGTCCTGTGTTTGACCTTGGACGAGAGCAGGTAGTGAGGGAATGGGGATGATCACACAGCGCCTAGGCTTTGCCAGCCGTTCCTCTGCCCCGCCGTGGTGCTCGGGACTTTCCACGAACTGATGCACTTTACCTTTTCTCATAACAGTGCTATGAGACAGGTCCCCTCACAGCACCCATTTCACTGACAAGGCAGAGAAAGGTTGAATAACTGTGGCCCAAGGTCCCCGAGCTAGGGAGAAGTCAATCCAAAATCCAAAAGGCTGGATGTAACCTGCATCCCAGGGCCTGCGGTGCAGGAACTGTTCAGGAAGAAACTCAACACCTGAGGTAGGAGGCTGGGCTCCGTGCCCTTTGTTTCAGGGCCGCCCTCAGCCTCTGGGCAGGAGCAAGTCGCTGTGGGCCTACATGTGGCCCAGGCTCTGCCGAAGGATACACGTCTCAATGTTGGCTCCCACGATGTAGCCGGTGACGTCGAAGTTGATGCGGATGAACTTGCCCTGCGGATGGGAAAACAAGTTCAGGGACAGCCAGCTACAGTCAGGCTGAGCCGCCCTACACCACGGGCTGGCAGGGAGGGAGCTGTTGGGAGCACCTCGCATGTGGGGAGACACCGCTGACCTGCAGAGCCTCACAGGTCGGCCTGAGCGAAAGAACCAGCCTTGCTAAGCTGGGATGGTCCCAGGCCTTACGGAGAGAGACGGGGCCTGCACAGCGCCCTCCCAGGTCCATCGCATCTGGCTTTTGTCACGACTCCAAGAGTCCAGCCTGGCTGCCCTCATTTAAAGGTGGGAAAACGGAGACCGAGAGGGACTGAGTAGCCCTGTGTGACCCTGTTCCTCAGAGGCACAGCCGGAAGTCAAGGGCACCCAGGGGCTAGAAGGTCCCTCCCGCCCACTTCCTGCCCAGACACATGCTGCCCGCGGCACCGTCCAGCTCTGGGGTGACCAGCTTCTGCAGGAAGTGAGAAGCAGTGGGCCCCTGAACTCCTGTCCTGGCAAGCCCTGGCCCGCTGTCCCGTGGGCAGGACGGTGCTGTACCCCAGGACTCATTTGAGACCTGCCTTGAAGGGGCTGGCTGATCCCCTGTGCCGCACACAGTGAGGCCCCATAATGGAGGACAGGGCTCCAGCCCGCCCCTCGGCTCAGTCCCTTTTCTTCCTTTCTCAGCAAGTGACGAAGGATCACGTGCTCTTCCCCACCATGACTTTCACAGTGAGTGGTGCCCCTGGGTGGACATGCTCCCCCAGGCTGGCTCAGGTTCCATGAAAGTGTCACACTTTCCTCATCAGGAACGAGACAGGATGTCTGGGAGCGGCCACATTGGTGCTACTGCAACTGGGAGCCCCTGGTAGGGCCCAGACAAGCTGCTGCCCCTCCCTGCTTCCCAAGGAGGTGGCCACCACGTTTTTAGGGTTAACCTTGAATTTGCTCTCAGGGATGATGTGCCAGACCCATTGCTCCATCTAAATGCAGAGCTTCCTGGTGGAGGTAGCACATTCACTACAGGGATTTGAGGAATCTGGGAGGCAACCATGTGCCTTGTCCCATGATGGTGGGGCCAAGGATGCTTAGGGTGCCCTGCAGTGACCAGGAGAGTCCCAGACACCAGGCGTGTCCACCTCCCCTGTACCCTGTGAATGCGCCACTTGACATTCATGCAGGTGGAAAGCTTGTTTGTAATTAGCTAGACCTAGAACATAACCCTGTTTGAGGTAAAGGTGTAACAAAAATTAAATGCAAGCTGGACATACTGGTGCACATCTATAGTCTTCGCACTCTGGGAGGTTAGGGCAGATTTCAAATTCAAGCCCAGCTAGGGGGACTTAATGAGACTCTGTCGCAAATTAAAAAATAAAAAAAAGGACTGGGGATGTAGCTCAATTCGTGCTCTCCTGGACGAATGAGTCTTGGATATACACGTCTAGCACATAGCACGTGCTCAGTATCTATTTCTGGAATTAACTATGAATGTGAAATGCCTAACAGTGCTTGATACACAGTGGCTGCTCAGTGGGTAATTGGTGAATGAATGAATGAGTGGCAGGAGCCCATGGGAGACTGGACATTCAGGACAGGATGCAGAAAACGCCCTGGTGACATCCACCTCTCCCTTCAGGCTTGGATTCCCCAGCACACACACCCCCTGCACTCTCAGGCAGAAAGTGACACTGAGGGACCCAAACCTTTCCCAGAAAGCCGCCCTGTGGCTCTGCTACTTACAAATCGAGAGGAGTTATCGTTCTTCACTGTTTTGGCGTTGCCAAAAGCCTCCAGAATGGGGTTTGCTTGTAGAAGCTGTTTTTCCAGCTCTCCCTAAAATTCATTCACATCTAATTATTGCAGGAAGAACCCGGGCCCTAACAGTTCAGAGTGAACTAGACAGACTCCACCCTTAACCCACAGGCTTTCTCCTACCTTCTACCCCCACCCCTTGGACCCTAATGGCAATGTTGAAGTTTACTGGGTAATTTAGGCAGAGCTTTCTGATAGCTAGGACATCTATTCCCTAGGAAGACTGCTCTTTCAAAGACAAGGGTCTGCTCATATATGCAGCGTCATCGACACTAAAATCTACCACGTGTTTAACAAGCAGCCTTCAAACCAAGTGACTATAATCCTCCCAATTATTTTAGTTTGACTTCTCAAAGTTATATTGTTTCCTTGGTCTGGTTTTCTGAAGCCTCCTATGGAGAACAACTAAGAGAGGAGCAAAACCCACCAGGGGCCCTCTCAACTGACTGCAGAACAAAGCTGCAAAGCAGGTTGCCCGAGCTCCATTCATCAGGTTAAATGCAGCTGAGACAGTACACAGCCCCCAACCCCTCTCCCAGAGTCCTGTGCACATACATGGTCACGTGATTAACTGTGGTGGGGAAGGGCCCACAGGGAAGTCAAGCCTGGAAAGCAATGAGCTGCTCTCTGCCCAGCTCTAGTACGTGGCAGTAGCTGCTGGAACCAAGGGAGGGGTGGGATCTCAGGGTTTCTCCTCGCTCCCCTTTCCCTTGTCTTTCCCTCTCAGGCAGCAGCTGGCTGTGCAGAAGGTGGCAGGAGGGCACCCAGCAGGGAGAAGAGTGGGCTTGGCTTGCTCCTGGGGCATCAGGAGGAGCTGCCCCAGGGGATGAGGCAGGAGGCTCCTACTTCCTTCTGAGCATTTATTCTTGAACCTCCTCCTCTGCTCCCAGAGCCCAGGAGAAAGCCTGGATTCCACGGAACTCCTGGCCCCAACTAGAATCGCCTGATGTTGGAAACCAGCAAGGAGTATTATGGTCTTTTCCTTGGCTAACAGGAAAAGACAAAAGGAACCCCTCTGTCCATACAGACTTTGAGGTTCCAGTGTCTCCCCGAAAGGCTCCTTCTCTACAATGAGGATTCTAGCAGTGGGGGCTAAGTGGTCATCATAGAAGAGTTTTAGACGTCCTCACTTCATGCGGATGAGACCACTGCCCAGGGTGACTCAGCCAAAGTGACACAACATCGGATATCAAATAAGGCCTGTAGCCCAGCATCTTCCTCAAGTGTGCCCTTGCTAGGTGCCATAGCAGACCCCTGAGAGTCCCCAAGGCTGGGACCCATGTGCCAGCCGCCCCCCAAGCTCTGCGTTAGAGATGAGTTTACTTCTGCAGACCAGGTCGTGTGGCGTAGCTGGGGCCTTACCATGCCACCGAAGCTGTGCCGTGAGCCTACGACTGCTCCGAGCACCCGACATGCAGAACACAGACACACACTGCACACGCATGCACGGGGCACACTCGTGCATGGGGCGGGGCCAGGGAGAGGGAGGGAGGCATGCCACGATGTCAATCCAGCCAGGGAAGCTTTGGGGCCTGACAGCCCTAAACCGCTCAACCAGACAGGACAATGACTCTGGGGCATTTCGGTCAGGGGCACCGGGGGTGGCCATGGGGGTGGGGAAGGATGAGGGGGCTCATCCTGGACTGGAGACTGACACAGGATTCCAGCGGGGTTCCTGTGGGTGCCAAACACACCCACACCCCACCCTGGCATCAGACATCCGCAAGACAGAATCTGGGTGCAGTTGTTGACTTGGGGAGTGAAACTCAGGGGCCTGCCCTGACCTACCACCAGCTGGGGGCCCCAGGGTGCGACAGGAGCATGCAGATAGATCTAAGTCCACTCCGTGCCTCCCGCACACACCAGGAACACACTCTCAGTTACTCACGTAGGCAAAAGATGGGCCTTGCTGCGGTCGAATAGTACGGTACAAAACAAGCGTCAGTGTTATTGCTACCACATCCCGTCAGGGGCTGGGACACACAGCTTCACCCTCCCACCAAATGCCCGGACTCCCTGAGCACGGCTGCAAGCACAGGCTCCCTTTCCCTTTTTTTGGTATTATCCCTCCCTCTTCTAATTCCTTAGAGATCCAGAAATCTCGAAGGGTTTTTATAATCCCAGGGACTAGGGGCACATTTTCAAATAGCGTTCGGCCACATCATGGCTGAAGCGTGTTCACATGTGCAGGCCACAGAGGCGGCCCCGGAGAAGATGAGCCAGCAGCGGTAACTCTTATATTGTTGCTGCACGGGTCGAGGCAGTGAGAAGCCGCTGCCACACCATGGGGCCATCCGCTCCCACAGGTGTTTCCCGCTCCCCGAAAACCGGCTTGCTGGGGACAGCGCTGACAGGCCCCACCTCTGGCTCCTGCGTTTGTTGAGGAAGGAAAGTCCCTGAAGCTAGGCCTGCTGTCCCGTCTCCGAGGGCCTGCAGGAGAGCTGGCGCTGGGACTGCAGTCACCTCTCAGGGCCTGACGCAGGGGCCAGAATGGCAGAAGCAGGGATGCCACACCACTCCACGCCACAGCCTGAGCTCATCTTCCTCTCCCCAGGCTCCAGGGGCAGAGGCACCAGCAGGATGCCCTCCTCGGGGACAGACGAGACAGGGCAAACCCAGGAAGAGAGGAGGAGCACCCAGGAGGGGCTCTGGAGACCCGCTTTTCCTTCCTTGCAAACCCTCATTCCCACGGGGTCACCGTGAGTCCCCCTCAGGGATGCTCTCTCTTCCACTTGTCCTAAAGCTCAGGTGACATGGGAGCAGCCTCTCATTCCTGGCCCCATCCCTGCGGTGTGTGGCACACTGGAAGGGCTCAGTCCACAGTCACAGAAGCCACTGGCCAAGTGACTTCGACATCCTCTTGGCCCAGGGGATGGGGACACAGAGAAAAGAGCAAACCCAAAGTGCACCCCAGCTCAGGGAGTCCACAGGGATTCACGGAAGGGAGGGCTTCCTAATCGGGATGAGTAGGCCCCACCCCTGGGGACGCTGGCCGTGTCTGCAGACATTTTTGGGGGGGGTGCGTGCTGCCATCTAGTGGGTGGAGGCCAGGGATGCACAGGACCACCCATATGACAGAATTACCTGGCCCAGGCAGCCACTGCTGAGAAACCCTGACATGAGGCCAGTGCCTGCTGCCATGGGAGGGCTCATTCCTGGCCTGGGGATTGCATCCAGCTGGACAGGAAGTGTCCGGCTGGTCACTTGGCCAAGCGGGTGTCAAGCCCTCCCGCACTGTCAGGTGCCGGGCAGTGGCTCAAGGCCCATGTCCTGCCCCAGGCCCTCTTTGTACCAGGTCAGGTGAAAGCTCACCGGCGAGCCAGGCCACCCTGGGGACCTGCCACTCACCGTGATGCTGGTGTCCTTCTTGCCCTTGTGTGACGAGGCCACCACAGCCAGGTACTGGATGACCTTCTTGGTGTTTTCTGTTTTGCCAGCTCCAGACTCGCCTCTGAAAGACACGGGGACAGTGACCCAGGGTTCACTCAGGAGCCGAGCAAAATGATGGCATCATCACTGCCATTCCCCGGGTGGGGTGGGGTGGGGGGCGCTGAGGCTCCTGGGAGGGGGTCACTTGCCCAAAGACACATGGCCAGGAGGGACTGAGGTGAGCCTCAGATCCAGGCCAAATACTCAATCAACTCCTCCCGAGAGGATGAGGAAAAGGATTCAGATGAGAAAGAGTTGCGGCGGGGGGGGGGGCAAGTTTCACTCCAAAGGCCAAGCCGAGGTCTGTCTGGAACTGACCGCTTTTAAGGCATCAGGAGCACAGAAACGGAGAGGCCAGGCAAAGGACCATATTCAAGGGAGACATAAAAATCCCCCGAGCAGGAGGACCTAGGCTTCCCTCAGGAAATAGAAGTGATTGTCCCAAGCCCCTCAATCTCTGGGGAGTCCCCCCTGACTAACAGCCAGCCAGCTAATGATCTTATTCAGATACCAAAAAGAAAAACGTGAAGTAATTCCTGCTGGAGTGGACATGACTGATAGGTTGATCAGCCGGGCACTGTCTAGCAGAATAATACTCCTGGAATACGTGGGTAGATTTTGGACCAAGGTAGGCTTCTTGGCCAGCCGCCTCTTCTGGCCACCAGAGATTGCCATGCCGGGACTGCTGCACGCGTGGGATCCCGGACGGCCCCAGTGCCCTGCTCCATCCCTCCCTCCTCATTCTCCTCCGTGTTCCCTTTCTTTGCCTGAAACCTCCATTCTCTGAGCTCGTTTCATATTCTAAAATACAAGAGGTTTTTAAAGCCTGCACAGAATTCATCTACCCCAAGGTCAGCTCGAGGTTGTTGGTGCTGAACCAGTGCCACCTATGCCAGTACAGCCTCCGCTCTGCTTCCTAATTAGGCAATGGAGACAGGATCTTCTCAGCCAAGGGCAGCAGAGGAGAGGAGAGGAGAGGAGGGGAGGGGAGGGGAGGGGAGGGGAGGGGAGAGAGGAGACATTGCTGCCCCAGCCACGTATGCATCTCCTTGGTATGAAAAGCTGTTCTGCCCCCAATTCTCATGTGCTCCCACCCCTGCTGCCTGCCAGCAGTGTACCCCAGTACTGCTGCCATCCAACTCCTACACACCCTGCAAAGCCCGGTTACACATTACCCCTGTCTTGTAGATTGTCTCTGGCAGGCACAAATCACTTGGTATAATTATTAGGAGGATTTAATGAACACACATAAAATAAACACTCAGAACGGTGTCCAGTATACACTCATGCTTTCCCTGGGGCACAGACATTTGATTTGTATCATGATCTTCACCATCATCCTCTCATAAGGTATACACCATATCCCATTTTTCCACTGTTTCACTCCAGAGTCAGCAAAGATCCAGATGGTAAATACTTTAGGCCCGTGGGACACATCCTCTCTTTCATGACTGCTCCTCTCTACTGCGCAGCAGGGAAGCCAACGTGTGCACTAATGGGCGTTCCAATAAAGCTTTATTTACAAAAGGGGTGTGACTTGGCCCACTGGTCTTGGTTTGTCAAGGCCTGGCTTCAGTTCCTCGGTGCCTCTGGTCCCTCGTAGATTAAAGTGTAAAGCCCTCCCCACAGCCCAGAGGGCCCCAGCGCCCTGCTTTCTCTGAACACAGGTCGGTATCATCCTGGGGCCCTCCACCCACCCAGCACCCCCAGCTTCCTAACCCTGGATGAACCAGACACTGGATAAAATATAACTCCCGTCTGCACGTGACAGTCACCCGGTTCCCGGCCCTGGCCCCTGCAGTGGTCCCAACCCGCTCCTCCTGACCACTCACTGCTTCTAACAGCTCGGACCATGTCAACCTGTTGGCCTCAAGTCTGGCTGATTTTGACGGCCAGAAGACAAATGAATGAGGCGAGTTGGGCTGTGCTGATGCTGGCCGGGGTGCCTGGGCTGGGATTTCCCATCTAATCTAACACTGGCGCATGCCCATGTACTGCGCACGGGCTGTGTGCAGGCAGGCGCTTGGGGCCGAGCCCAGGAAGGCAGGGCCAGGTCACGGGGCCTCTGAGGCCTGGATTTATTCTATGGCTACAGGAAGTCATTTCATTAGGGCAATGGGGCTTTACAGTGAGTGGGACAAAAATACAAACTGCAGGAAGGAACTTGGCCTACAGGAGCGATGGCGGTCCCAGCAGCAGGCCCTGTGGAGCTCTTATCCCGAGGCGCGAGTGCTCCTCCCAGTCCTTCCCGGGCAGGGACTCGGTCCTCCCAGCACCCAAGGGGGTTCTGCCTGTCTCCACTTTACAGGTGGGGAGTCTGAGGCTCAGAGAGGCACGGTGACTTGTTTCTGAGCGCTTGCAGCTGGCCAGTGACGGGACTGAGGCCCGGTCTGGAGCCTACACTTCCCCACCCCACAGGGGTGGGTATTTACGACCCAGCAGCAGGTGAATATTCTCACAGCGAACATTTCCAGAATGACGAATGGGGCCTGGTCGGGGCTGAGAGGAGGGAGCTTAGAGCCCAGGCCAGGGGCGAAGGACCCTGGGCTAGGGAGAGGCCGGGAGCCAGAGTGGACCCCAGTGAGGAACATCTCTGCCTCTCAGCTCCACCATCTAAGCAGGAGCCGTTGGAGGCTCTCAGCTTAAATAAAAATTCAGTTCCTCTGCGGCACTAAGGCACTCTCACTGTGCCCCTCTGTACCACATGGCACGCCCTTGCTCAGAGTGCTCACTGAGCATCTACTTTGGCATCTGGGCAGATGGCACGGGGTTCGCTGTGGTTGACAGAAAAGCGGCCCTCTCCCCTTCCCTGCAGAGCCAGTTTGGCCGAATATGCAGCTGGGTGACTGGCTCTCGGACCCCTGAGGACACCTCAATCTTTAGCAGCTCAAGTGCCTTCCACAAAATGTGTTAGTATTTGCACATAACCGACACAATCCTCTCATGCACTTTAAATCATCTCTAGGTTCCTTCTAATACCCCACGATGTAAATGCCATGATATGTACACAGTTATTTATTTTTAGGGAACAATGACACGGAAAGAAGTCTGAATATGTTCATTGAGACATAAGTTTTTTCAAGTACTTTCAGCCGGCGGGTGGTTGAATCTGCACATGAAGACCCACCAGTGTGAGCTTTGATGCAGTTGCTCAGGTGATGTGAACACAATGGCTTCGCTTTACAGTGTGGTAAATGCACTGCACATCCAGGGCCCTGGGTCCACTGAGATTCCTGCTTCCTGCCCACCTGTGCTTCCCCAGAATTAGTCATGACTTTTATTACTTCCCAATTTTCTATCTAGGTCACCCCCAAACTTATCACGAGTTGTCTAAGTCTTCTCCCGGCCCCATGCAAGGTCCTCCTGGCCTCCTTCACCATCTGAGATTCTTATCTACTTCCTCCACTCCAGGACTCCCAAAGCTAGTGGGGGCTTGTGCCTCCTGGCACATGGGACCATTTATGGCACAAAGTGAGTCTGTCTTTCCCACCCTGGGAGCTTGCTGTGTGGAGTGTGCTGCAGGGAGGCTAGCAAAGCACTTCTGAGGGGAGAAAGCAGGCTCAGATTTCAACACCAAAATGCCACCTGAATGTTGAGGAGTTCGGGCTGCCTGCCTCCCAGAGAGAACTTCTACCTTGGTGTTTGGTGAGCATCCACTCTGTGAGCAAATCAAAACAAAGATCCTCACCCTAGAGGACCCTTGAACACACCAGCTCTCAACCCCAGACAGAGTGAAGAGCAGCTCCACTTACGTGCACAGAATGGACTGGTCCTCTCGATCTGCAAACAGAAAGGAAAAAAAGCTGTGAGTTGGAGGGAGCTCTGCGCCGAGGGTCTGGACGCCGCCCCTGCCTGGCCTCCCACCCTCCAGCCCTGCGCTCAGCCCCACTGGGAGTGGCCAGGCATGGGGCAGGCCCAGAGCCAGCGGGGCAGCTGCAGAGGCTGTGCACATCGGCCTGGCCGACTCTGGGGTCCCGGAGAGCCCCCAGACTAGGACACAGACAGGACACAGACTTTGGGTCCAGGCAGACTTCCCTCCCACGTGGCCACACTGGGCCAACATCACACTTCTCCGGGCTGCAGCTCCTTGTCTAACATGGTGGTGGACATGAGCAGCCTCCCTCTCCTTCTGGGAACCATATACTCTGTTCCCTTTGACGCGGTTTGCCAGCATGTCCTCCTTGCCCTGACATCCAGTCTTGGGGGCCTCTCTTGGTCCCCAGAAGAGACAAGAATGTGCCTCGGGCAGCACTAATCTGCCTCTCTGGCCTAGAACTTGGAGCTCAGTCAAATCCGGAAGCACAGGGGCCAGGGATTTAGCTCAGTGGTTTTGCCGCCTCCTGCGCAAGTGCAAGGACCCGAGTTCGATCTCCGGTACCAAAAAAAATCCGGAAGCACAGCAGGTAGACAGAGCCCTGCAGGTGCCTCACTCCCTGGCCCAGAGGCCAGGAAACGCCAGATTCTGTCATTTTGAGGGGCTGGTGCCCCAGTCTTCCCACCCCATCTGCCAGCTCCCTGATGCTCCTCTGTAGATCCTCTTCCTCTGTAAGGCACCCCAGCCAGCATCTGCTTCGAGGGACACTTGGCAGGGAGAGAGGGCATCACGAGACCAAAGGATCAAGCAGACGTTACTAACGTGGCTACCAACACCTTAACCATGAGCAGCCACAGAGCTTGGAGTGTCACCCTCACTGACATGAGCGGCGAGCGTTTCTTAAACCCATTCCATGTCCATCCCAGTGCTCAGCCCCTTTCGAGCTTCCCTTCATCAGAGATGTCCCTGGCTGTTCTAGTGCTGCATCTCCAGCCTGGCAGGTGTTAGGTACTCAGTTATGTTTTGTGGATGAATGAGGACAGATGGACAGAAGGACAGATGAATGGATAGATGGATGGGAGGGTAGATGATGGGAGGATGACTAGAAGGATAGATGGGGAGATAATGAATGGGAAGACAGATGGATGGAAGGAAGGGAAGAATGAAGGATGGGTGGGAGGGAGGGTAGGAATGAAGGGGGCCATGTCTATGTGTCCCTCAGGGCAGAGAGGACAGCAGCGACCACACAGAGAGATGGGGGAGGTCCGACCTAACCTTTCATCTTGAGGTTAATATATCTGAGAGATTGCTCTGAATCAGACCTTAACAATCTACCTCACTTTTTCCTCCCTTCTTCCTTTGTTCCTTCCTTTCTTTTTCTTTTTATTTTTAGGGTGCTGGGGTGGAACCCAGGGCCAAGGGTGGCCCCTGCAGGAAGTAGGGCCTCAGGATGGGACAGGGCAGAAGGAGAGCTCATCCTTGGGCACCAGAATTCTTCATCAGCTCGTGATCCTGTCTTCCAGTTGAGCTGCACTGATGCTGGCCAAGCCCAAAATCCCCACGCTGCTGCAAGGACTTCCTCAGCCCCTCCACATCCACTCAGGGGTGCATCAGAAATGCATCCACGTGCCTGAGACATACCTGCAAGTTGTTCACTGCCATGGCATCTATGCAACAGCAAAAGACTGGAAACAAGCCCTTAGCTAGCCCCTCGCCCAACGCGGGGGTAACCAGGCCTGGTATCTGAACTCCTCTCTGCCATGTCTTGACGCATTGGCATTGGCAGCCACTTAAAAGAATGAGGCAGGGGTGGGGGTGGCTCAGTGGTAGAGTGGTTGTCTAGCATGCACAGGCCCTGGGTTCTACCCCTAGAGCCACAAAAATGAAAAGAAAGGAGGAACTCAGGCAGGGAGGGAGGAAAAAGAAAGGTAGATTGTTACAGTCTGATGTAGAATGAGCTCTAAGAAATATTAACCTAAATATAAAGGGACAAGTGAAACAGTATTGTGCCTCGTGTTTCAAAAGGAGGGATACAAGTCAGGCGTGATAATGCAGACCTGTAATCCCAGCAATCTGGGGGCTGAGGCAGCAGCACAGGAAGTTTGAACCCAGCCTGGGCAATTTAGTGACTTCGCAAGACCCTGTCTCAAAATAGAAGAACACTAGGGATGTAGCTCAGTGCAAAGGCCCTCAGTCAAATCCCCAGTACCACAAAAAATAAAAATAAAAAGAGACGTTATGGTGAGGTTACATCCTGATAGGCCCACCGGAAGTTGAAAATGACATAAATCAAACATGCGTTTAAATCACCTAACCTACTCAGCTACACGGCGTGCTAGAGCGCATCAGCTGTTTCCCTTGGGATCGTAGGACTGTCTGCCTGGGAGCTGCAGGTCGCTGCCCCTGCCCAGTGTCCCGGGGGAGGGTCCTACTGAATATGAGTGGCCCGGGAAAAGATCCTAACTCCACACTTAAAGCACAGGTTCCCCTCCACGCTTATACCACTGTGAAGTGGAAAATTCTAAGTCACGCATTTTAAGCTGTGGATCCCCTATCTGCAAAGCCACTCTGGGTGCTGCCCACAGAGGCTGTCCCTGAGGAGCAGGGCTGAAAATGAGGGCAGAGGGGCCTCCACTCTCACCTCTTCCCCTCCCATTCTGGTTGTGCTTGTGTCATGAACATGAACTGTGTACAACCGGGCCCTCATCCCGCCAGATACAGCCAGCGTTGTTCATTTGCCAGCCCTTTTGTTTTGTTCAGACAGGGTCTTGCCACGTCACTAAGTTGCCCAGGTAGGGCTCAAATTTGAGATCCCTCTGCCATGGCCTCCCAGAGCGCTGGGATCGCAGGCGTGCGTCACCAGGCCCAGCTCCAACCTTGCAGGTGATGAAAGCAGCGTGGCCCCAAGCTTAGGAAAGAGAACCCAGCTTTGCACTGCAATCTCCTGCCTCTCGCTCTCAGCAGCCCCTGGAGCGGGCACTGGCTCGGCCTCCCCCTGGCAGAGAAGGAAAACAAAGCTCGGCAGCGGTGACTTGCCTAAGTCACTGTAGTGGGGTGAAGCGTGGCCCGCGAAGGACTCGTCAAGCAGGAACCTCACAAGGTGGCGTTATATAGAATAAAGGTCTTGGGGATGTAACTGAGGTGGGGCAGGATCTACATCCAGGACTGGGCTGCTTCTCTTTCAGCAAAAGGAGAGAGGGATTAGAGACACAGGGGAGGGGGTCTTGGGAAGAGTGGGCAGAGACACAAGACAGAGACCCCAAGGACCCTTGGGGCCACCACCAGATGCCCTGGGGCGGGGTGGGGGGTAGAGGACAGATTCTCTGTCAGAGCTTCCTCCAGGACCAACCTTGACAACACTTCCATTTCAGACTTCCGGCTTCCAGAACCGGGACAGTGAACTCCTATTATCTTAAGCCACCAAGTTAGCGGTCATTTGTCTTAGCAGCGGCAAGAAACGAATACAATCACTTACACAGCTCCTAAGCGGTAGGCTGGAACTCGAACCCAGGACCTGCCTGACTTCGAACGCCTCGATTTCCCCACTGCATTGTTTCACCTCCAGACAGCTACACGCGCGTGCTGGCGCTTCCTTCCAGGAGAACAGTGAGCTTTAATCCCCCCGCGTCCTCTGGAGACAGTCAAGGGCAGTGTCCCCCCTTACCCAGCTCCCAGCCCAGCTCCTCACATTGGAACTGAAGAACGTAGACCCGAGCCTTCACCTCCCACCCAGAGGAGGCAATCTCCCCCAAGGAGAGCAGAGCAGAGCAGTCCCAGGAACAGGTTAAAAGGGGCTTGGGGCAGGGCTGGCGGGCGGAGGGGCAGGGATGGGGGACACCGGGCGGCCCACACAGCCCTACCGTCCCGCGCTTGCTGGGAACCGGGAGGCAGCACCCAGGGCTGTGGGCTCATCCGCCCCGAGCAGCCCGCCGAGCAGGGCCCAGAGCCCGGGATTTATAGGGTCAGAGGCCCCGGGCGCTGGCAGGCTCCGCGCTGAGGCCGCTGGAGACCCCTGGCCCCGGCGTTCCCATCGGAAACACAAGCGTGGGACGCGCCGAGCGGGTGGAGGGCAGCAAGGCCGGTGGGGGTGCGTGCAGGGCCCTCTCAGAGTGAGGGGATTACAGGTCTGTGCCCCACACTCAGCCCTTAAGCTCTTTTTAATGCTTCCCACAGTGGCCCGTGAGCTCCTAAAGGTCGAGGGTTGTGGTCCTGACCCTGAGTGCTCAGAACCACCCTTACCCACAGTGCCTGCTGAGGGAATTGTTTGCTGCTTTGCGTTGTTCTCTCTCTGCCCCTCAGAAGCAACTGAGGAAGAAGCGTGGTAAGTGCACATTCCCTGTGTCACAGGGAATTCCCAGAAGTCGGCAAGGCCCCCTTTTCCCCCTTGCTTTGGGACGCACATGCTCCTGCCCACCTGGGTGTCAGATGTGCTCCAAGGGCTCCCCCTCCTGTGTCTCCCCTCCCTCCGGCTGCAGCCTCATGGGCCTCATGGATGCCCTATTAAGCTCCCCAGTTCAATTCACTTGTCCTCTCCTCAGCCGGTGACTGATGCCCCCCAGGGCCACAGGAAGCCTTCAAGGCTGGAGTAACAACGGAACTGTCCCTGTCCCCAGCAGGGCCTGAGAGCCAAGTGTGCAGAGGTGGGAAAGGACCCGGCCCAGGACCCGTGTGGAGGTTCGCAGCGGCGCTGGACACTTTCTGGCCTCCCCTTGGCCGAGCACCTCACCCTGGAGTGGGGGCTGGGGTCACCTCCCCCATCCTGGAGCAGGCTTCTCCCCGCCTCCTCCCCGCCTCCTCCCCGCCTGGGCTCAGTCCTGGGTGTGCCAGTCTCTGGGGCGGGTTTACAAGGAGATAAGGGCTTCACTGGTCCCTCCCCCGGGTGACACAGTGGCCGAGGCCTCTCCGGAGGTCCTGGCCCAGCTGTTTGGGCCGATCCAAAGCACAGGCTGGCGGTCTCCGGCTGGGC